CGGGTGCAAAAAAGCCTAATCCTAGGGAGTACGTCCCGGGACGTCTCCGACACCCGAGTTCAATACTACATTCACACTCTAAGTTCATACCTTTTTGCTGAAATCGATCGACAATTGACAGTGAAATTAACATATTTCATTTTCATACTCTTTCGAATATACAATGTAATATGTACATGTAATAATTTTAACTACTCATACTAATTTCTAACTTATTCAATTTATATAATTTTCAAATGATGTCGCTTCGGACCATTCGTCCTACGACATGATGGGAACCGGAGGAACCGTAAAGCATGCGACTCACCGATCGCTGACTTGCATCACTGCGATCGTTTTACCGGCAAAGCATCTGACTGACTGGCTGCTTGGTTGATTGACTGCTTGGCTGCTTGGTTGATTGATTGATTGATTGATTGATTGGCTGCTTTCGTCAGATTTGGATTTGGCGATTTGTCCGTGAAGTTGGTATGACCTTCTGTAATCATAAAAGGAACACAACGATTAATTAACTGTTTTTAGCGATTTGCATTTTGATTAACATGCAGAAGTACAATAACTACATTACAGAATTCGGTTATAAATTTGCAAACGTTTATCAATAGTAACTCCGTGAAATATTGTAAAACATTTGAAAATGTATGTCAAAAGACTTGGGTAATTACTTTGGAGAGCAGTTAGAACGTTTGCAAAAATATACCGAAACACATAAGTAACTACACTTTAAACACCAGTAACAGATTGGCAAAATATTTAAATAAACACTACATAAATTACACTAAAGCACCAGTAACAGTATACTAATACACTTAAATAATCGTTCTATAAAGTACACAAAAGCACTAGTAACACCTTGCCAAAACACTTAAATAACAGTTGCATAAAGTACACTAATACCCACTAACGGTTTGTAAAAACACTTAAATAATCGATCCACAAAATACACCAAAACATTAAAAAATTAATAAAAAACTTAAATAACCGCACCATAAAACACACTAATATATTCGTATACACATGCACAATCACTTAAGGAAACACATAGACAAAGTCACTGACACTTGTAGAACCACACCATAAAATTTGTTAATACACCCCCACATTTAATAAAAAATATTTATTAAAGCACACTAAACATTAGTAGTAATACACTAGGTAAACTAATATATCCGTATATGCATGCAGGAAACACACTGGTAAAGTCACTGACACTTGTTGAATCATACCATCAAATTTATTAATACACCCCCATATTTATTAAAAAATATTTAATAAAGCACACTAAACACTTGTTATAGCACATTAGGTAACACAGGGACAAGCACAATATCGATTAAGTGAACCCTTGACTCGTACCGATAAGTGTTGACAGGTGCGATTCGACCTCCTCGATTTCCAAAATACGACTGAGAGCATTTGACCTCCCTCCAGTGTAAGAGTTATTGGTCGATGACAACAGCCAATTAGACATCATAATAGTCTACCAATAGATCGAATTCGATCTCTTCAAGTGTAAGAGTGATTGGTAGTGTAAACTAACCAATTAGACATCATGTTATCGACCAATAGCGTGCAACCATTCTGATTGGATGTTGTATAATTATTCTAATGTTAATTTTTTTATAATTTTGTATTTTTTGATTGTTTATTAACAAATTTAATGTTGTAATTATTTAAATTTATTATTTTTTTTTAACTTACTCTTGCAGATATGTTACAAAATGATTGTTAATTATCGAAGAAACTCGGTATAATGTGCGAACTATTTTTAACGCATAATAGTTTTATATTTTATTTGCGCGCGGTTTTTTAAAAAATGACGTCATCAACGAAAACGGAACTTGGCGCCATCTCTCCGGCGAACAGGGTGAACTACACGTTTTTGAAACTGTAGTTTTATTAGTTTACCACACTGCCACTGGACGGCGCCACGTGTATCATGCGCCGATAAAGAACACATTTTTCGATTTTACTTGCACTTGTTACTACTAGATGATGCTTTATACAATTTCCAAATAGCAGGCGCGTAAATATAAATTTTAAAGTAGGTGCACGTATAATACTTCCAAATGGTTTTGAAGTTCTTAAATTAGTTACTTTACAATGAAATATTGTCTTTTACAACTGTTTTAAATATTACATGTGCATGATACTTTTATTATAAATGCAAATTTCAGCGTAATGTTCAATTATAAAGATTGTTATTCACATTCATATCTTTCTGAAATGTAAAGTGCGCAATAAAACAGTTCGCTCTTAAAAATGAGGGTGTGCATGCAAAAATCTATTATTCATTGATTTCAGAAGTCTCTTTGGTAAAGTAGGCATAATGCATACCAATGTACGAATGTCATTGCGGATGGTAGGGACTTGTTCCTCTTGACTGCCATTTTCCCCAGGGATGCTAGATTTGCAGTGTATGTGTACCTATCCATGTGTAAAAAATGTACTATAGATAATAGTTGTCTAACTTCTTTGACACACACGAATAAAATAAATTTAATCATGCCTAGCATCAAGCACTATAATCTGTCATTTTTATTCTTTTAGTGATAAATTATATCATTTAACATAAGTTAATTGATAAAAATATTAGGAAATGTTTGAATAAAATTCGCAATGAAAGAGTCAACGATGACAAATGCAACGATAGCTTATTTGTAGTATTGATAAAGTAAAGTAATATTTTATAGAAGTGAAATAACGCATTTAATAAAGGAAACTTATAAATTTGAGCAGTATTACTGTTATAAAATTTCCATTATACTGTGTGTTTAAGTTATTCTACTTTTTTATTATTACTATAAACAAGCAAGTACATCTTTTATTATTATCCACATTGAAATTAATTATAAACAAGTGTTATAGCAGTGAGTATTATAACATCCTGTGAAACAGTATGATCATGACATAATTGAGCATATAAAATAATATGTTCATTGATATTTTATAGTTTACATATTGGTTAGATGACATAAAGATCTCATATAAAATATACTGAAGAATATATTTTACTAATAATCATGTCATCGCCAGAGCAATCAATGATTGTGCAATCAAAATTTGTCTCTGGAGAGACTGTAATAATTGTATCCTTTTATTTCAAACCAACCTTATTTGTTTGTCTTTAGTAGTATTATGTGTGGCGCTTATAAATCCTTAACTACATATAAAGGCAATTGAAGCATCATTGATACAGGGTTGGGATAAAGCTGCAAGAATAGTAGCACTTCTTAATAAAGGAACAACTCATGCATTGGTCATTTTAATTACTTCTAGAACACCTCCACAAGTTTATAGTGATCTTACAATAGAAAGAATATTACCTATTGATCAAGATTTTAAATGTAATATAAGTACGTAAGAAGGTTAATTCTATGTGTAAAAGCTGGATAAATAATTGTAGATAGTTATGACCTAAATTAAAATTAATATTATGTCAATAATGTTTATGTCATTTATTGAAGATACTGATGAAAAGCAACAGGAAACTCTTGATGTTTATCTTAATGTTACATCCAGGAAATTACACTTTGTATTTGAAATGAGACCAGGAGTAGAAACAAGTTCTTTAGTGTCCGAAATATTTAGGGCTATAGAAGGTAAATATAAATTATTATTTTATAGTTTCACTTTGCATTAAAAGTTCATATTTTTAAAAAATTTTTAATAATTTCAGTATATCAAAAAACAAAAAATTCAGCATCAGAATTTCTGTGGATTCAGAAATTAACAGGAAGTGCACGTAATTTAAATCCCAATAATAATGAAGATATACAAGACAACACTGATCCTGTTAGTACATATTGTATATTAATTATGTGTGTATGCATGCTTGATTGTTCATATATGTGTATATGTATTTAAAACTGATAATAATAGAAGCTTCTGTTTGGAATTAATTTTATAGCTAGTAGATTTGGAGAGTCCAGTTTTAGTTGTCACAAGACGTAGTATTGCATCTGGTAAGTCTCCTGTGGCTGCTAGGGAATCAGCAGTACGGTATCAGATGGCATGTAAAGAAGATGATTATACATACAGCAAAACATTCCGGTTTGTTCTTTTTTATTTTGGAAACATTGCATTACGAAAAATCTTATACATAACAGTTTCATTATAGTATATTTACTGGTACATGGAACGTAAATGGCCAACCACCAAATAATATTACATTACATGACTGGTTAAGTTATGATAAATCACCACCAGATATATATGCAATTGGATTTCAAGAATTAGATTTAACTAAAGAAGCTTTTCTTTTCAATGATACTCCAAGAGAAGAAGAGTGGAGGTATTTAATTTACATTTTAAATTATTATTAAGAAACATTTAATACTTCCATTATTGTTATATTTATAGACAAGTAGTAGCAAAATCTCTTCATCCAGATGGTGTATATGAACAAGTTGCCATAATAAGATTAGTAGGCATGATGTTGATTATATATGCATTACATAGTCACATGCCACATATAAAAGATGTATCAGTTGATACAGTAGGCACTGGTATTATGGGTAAAATGGTAACATTTTTAATTTTTAAATAATAAAAGAACCAAATAACTAATGTAACAATTATATTAATAAAGTATTTAATCTTAACAGGGTAACAAAGGTGGAGTAGCAGTAAGTTGTACCATTCACAATACGTCTATTTGCTTTGTTAATGCTCATTTAGCAGCACATTGTGAGGAATATGAAAGGAGAAATCAAGATTATGGAGATATATGTACACGTTTGTCATTCTCAAAATATGTTCCACCTAAAAATTTTAAAGATCATGAGTAAGTAAATTAACAAAACATTTTGTCGAAATATATTTCTGCAGAAATGTTTTTGAGAAACAACATTTTAAATATAGCCAGATCTATTGGTTAGGAGATTTGAATTATCGAATAACAGAAATGGACGCTGCGGCAGCTAAAGAATACATAGATGTTGGAAATTATGCACCTGTCTTAGCTCTAGATCAACTTGGTCAACAACGACGATTAGGTCGTGTTTTTCAAGGATTTCAAGAAGCGGAAATAACATTTAAACCAACGTATAAATATGATCCAGGAACTGATAATTGGGATTCAAGGTCAGTAATATTGATAAATTATTAATATAATTTGTTACGCGGGAAAGAGTACGATTCACGTTTTAAAAAAAAAACTTTATTTTATTTCTTAAACACTACACGATTATTACAATAGAATGTTCTCGCAATATGACTCGTTGAAACCTGAGCTCCGAATATCTGTGTCTATAATGATGTGTCGATTGAATGTGTCTATAATATTGTCTCGTCTGAATGTGTGTCCTCACACGGTGGATCTGCTCCGTCTTTTATACCTTCCTTATAACCTACTGCGTTACGCTTTTAACTTATCTTGTTTATAACTCTTGGATCGTGCCTTATATAACAAAACATTTTGTCGAAATATATTTCTGCAGAAATGTTTTTGAGAAACAACATTTTAAATATAGCCAGATCTATTGGTTAGGAGATTTGAATTATCGAATAACAGAAATGGACGCTGCGGCAGCTAAAGAATACATAGATGTTGGAAATTATGCACCTGTCTTAGCTCTAGATCAACTTGGTCAACAACGACGATTAGGTCGTGTTTTTCAAGGATTTCAAGAAGCGGAAATAACATTTAAACCAACGTATAAATATGATCCAGGAACTGATAATTGGGATTCAAGGTCAGTAATATTGATAAATTATTAATATAATTTGTTACGCGGGAAAGAGTACGATTCACGTTTTAAAAAAAAAACTTTATTTTATTTCTTAAACACTACACGATTATTACAATAGAATGTTCTCGCAATATGACTCGTTGAAACCTGAGCTCCGAATATCTGTGTCTATAATGATGTGTCGATTGAATGTGTCTATAATATTGTCTCGTCTGAATGTGTGTCCTCACACGGTGGATCTGCTCCGTCTTTTATACCTTCCTTATAACCTACTGCGTTACGCTTTTAACTTATCTTGTTTATAACTCTTGGATCGTGCCTTATATTGTTTATATCATTAATTCTTGGACCATGCCTTATCTTGTTTATATCATTAATTCTTGGACCATGCCTTATCTTGTTTATATCATTAATTCTTGGACCATGCCTTATCTTGTTTATATCATTAATTCTTGGACCATGCCTTATCTTGTTTATATCATTAATTCTTGGACCATGCCTTATCTTGTTTATATCATTAATTCTTGGACCATGCCTTATCTTGTTTATATCATTAATTCTTGGACCATGCCTTATCTTGTTTATATCATTAATTCTTGGACCATGCCTTATCTTGTTTATATCATTAATTCTTGGACCATGCCTTATCTTGTTTATATCATTAATTCTTGGACCATGCCTTATCTTGTTTATATCATTAATTCTTGGACCATGCCTTATCTTGTTTATATCATTAATTCTTGGACCATGCCTTATCTTGTTTATATCATTTGACCGGTGAGAAGTGGTCTAATGGTCTAAGAAGTTCAAGTGGTCTAATGCAATAAACTTCATAGAAACGCTTAAGGAATATTTATATACATTCTACCGTATCTAAATATATATTAATTGCAGTGAGAAGGGTAGAGCACCAGCATGGTGTGATCGTATTTTATGGAAAGGAGAAGCAATCACATCAATTGATTACAGAAGTCATCCTGAATTAAAAATTTCTGATCATAAACCAGTTAGTGCAATTTTCGATTCTCAGGTAGATAAAAACATAATAATTCGGTTATTTATTAACCGCGCATTATTCAATTTCATGTTTTATAATAACTGTTTATAGATTAGAATTATTGACATAGCAAAATATCGCAAAATTCACGAAGAAGTGATGAAAAGGCTTGATAAATTAGAAAATGAATTTTTACCGCAAGTAATGGTGGATACAACAGAGATCATATTTGATACCTTAAAGTTTCTAGAACCTAGTAGCAAAGAACTTATTATCGCTAACACCGGACAGGTAAATCAATTTTTAATGAACGTATTTATACATTTTGTATATAATAATTACATTATTTAAAGGTACCAGTTCAATTTGAATTTATAAAGAAATTAGGCGATACTACTTATTGTAAAGACTGGCTCGATATAGAACCCTATAAAGGTTTCATAAAACCAGGTAATTTTCTTTCTTTAAGAAATGTAAATTAACTTTACCATAATTCTGCTTACTATATTTCAGGAGAAAAATGTGACACTAGATTCGAAATATATGTTGACAAAAGATCGGCATGCAAATTGAATTCTGGAGAAGATAAATTATACGATATTTTAATTTTACATCTTGAAGGAGGAAAGGATATATTTATAACTGTCACAGGTAAGAACATCATATGTTCATATATAATGGATTCCTAAACATAGGACTTTACTGGTGTAGCAATCAAAATTTGAAAGTCCATATAAAAAGAAACCACGCAATAAAATTTCAGTGTACTGCATTCGCAAAATAAAATAAAAATAAAACAAATTACATGAATCTGCTTTTCCAGGTACTTACGAAAGAAGTTGTTTCGGATCTTCCATGGAAGCTTTAGTTCATATTCCAGTACCAATCAGAGAAATTCCTGTTGGTAGATTAATGGAACTCGTTAGTATATCACTGAAATACAAATAAACACTAAAATATTACAATAAAAGTATCAGTATTTAATCTCGTTGCACCACAGGAAAATAATAAAAATCTTTCCCAAGAACCTTACCCTGTTCCAAAAGAAGTATGGTTCTTAGTAGATAGACTATATCGTCATGGCATAAAAACGGCAGGCCTTTTTGAAACACCAGGACTACACAGTGAAATTATAGCCATAAGGGATTGGTTAGACAATTGGAGCCAAGATCCAATGCGTATCCTACTATAAATATAAAATTTACAAATCAAAAGTGTCATACAATAACAATGATTCCTTATCTTTTGTATAGCTGGTAGCGTACACTCTGTTGCAGAAGCATTGCTTTTACTTTTAGAATCAACAGCTGAACCTTTAATTCCATATAATTTACATAATGTGTGTTTGAATACAGTGACTAATTATTCACAATGCAAACAAGTACGTAGATTAACTACATTTTATGCAAATAATAATATACATATATACGGATTCTTTCTTTTAATTTGTCTACAGATTGTAATGCAGCTTCCAGAAATAAGGAGAACAGTTTTTGTTTATATATGTTACTTTTTACAAGAATTATTAAATCATACTCAAGACAACGAATTAGATGCCAAAACTCTTGGTAAGTGTTTACTTATTTAATTACTCAATACGACGAATAACAAATTTATATATAATTTATTTTGTAGCGACACTATTTGGATCAGTATTTTTAAGAGATCCACCAAGAAGTAGAGGTGACCGAGATCAAAGAAGAATGATTCGTACTCAAATTGTTCAAGCAACAATTGATAGGAAGAAAGCTGCATTCGTTTATCACTTTTTAGTTAATGATCAAAGCGATTTTATTTTAGGTCGATAGTAAAACGTACCTAATGTAAACTTTAAAAGAAGCAGAATGAATATTTCATTTGTTCTATTTAGCTGAAATAATAATACAATTAATATCATGCTAAAAAAATATTTTGCGATATTTAGTATTTCTATGATAGTACTTAACTACGTAAACAAAATTTTGATAACGGCAGAATGCACGTATATAAAATAACTTGCCAATTTAAAAAAATGTGCTAGCTAAACACTGCGTGCTATTCCGAAATACTCGTAACTAGATGTTAAGTAAAAGAAAAAACCAAGCTACAATTTCATCTAGTCTCTCTATAGCCTGAAAAGGCTAAATATGTATTATGTAAATTTATTCACGAAAGAAATTATTCTTTAACTAAGTTAATTTTATATTACTTTAAAATTATTATTACTGTTTAGAATTACAATGATTTTAATATATAAATAATAATTTGAACATTTACTCAGGTTCAATATGTATGACTGTAATGTATTGGAAACACGTGTTAACTTTTGTATCAAAATTTTATTAAAAAATACATATAAAATGTGATAAATAACGTAGTTCGTAATATTTTATTTCCAGACAAAAGATGTAACAATCTATGAAAGCATATAGATAATGGTGAAGTCTTAAATGCAATTGAATTTAAAAAGGAACGGTTTTTGTAAATGTCATAACTTTGTACTAAATACAAAATGGTAAACATAAAACATTAATTGAAAAATTATGAAGCACGTCATTGAACTCGTATGCGAACAGTAATGTGATTTGTAAATAAATGACAATTCCGAACTTTTTTATGCAGAAAAAAATTAATAGATCAATTACTATTATTACAAAATACATAAAACATCAGAAAAAAATTAACAGATCAATTACTATTATCACAAAATATATAAAACATCAGAAAAAAATGATTAAAAGGCAACAAAATTTGTATTTACTATTTATCTTAGATGGCAAAAAACTTTAAATCTATTTTATACGAATGACGTATAAGTGATTACAAAATTTTAAAAGTTGAAATTTTTCTGTGCCTCTTCGGCTGTTTTAAATTCTAATTGTCCATCAGTTGCTGTGGGTGGTAATACTGCCTCTTCAACGTCCTGTAGATAAATTTTATGAATTACATATAATAAATGATAAGTAAATCACAAATATTAATCATAGAAGCTTAAACATAGAAACTTCAGAAATTTACTTACCCCATCAGAGAAAAATGTATCTATCATTGCAATAGCTTTTTGGTACACCTGCTCTACCTCATGATGCTGAAGATCCTCTAATTTGTCTATACCTCCAACTTCTTCTATCATAAGAGCAACACGTTCAACTTCTCCCATTTTTTCTGCCGCATTTAAAATATTAGTTAAACCATCCAAAACAACAAGCACCGTTTTCCATTCTTTAGCTTCTAACAATTTGCAAAATGGTGCTAACACTCCTAACTGTACTAGTTGAGCTAACTGCTGAACCGATCCGCCTGACGTTAAATTCGTTACAGCCCATGCTGCTTCTTTTTGGGATTTAAAATCTCCCTACATAAAATAATCCGTATTAATAATGATTAGCATAAATTATACTATTAATAATCATAATAAATACTATAATTGACTCACACACTGCAAAACGTGTATTAAAGGTGGTAATAGACCAGCATTTATAACATGTTGAATTTGTTCCATGTTACCAGCAGTAATATTACTAATAGTCCATGCTGCCTCTTTGACAATATTAATGCGATGATGCTGCAATAGCAATCCTAAATGTTGTAAACCACCTGCTGCAATTATTGCATCTGTTTGTGAATCATTGCCTGTAACTATATTTCCAACTGCACGAAGTGCTGGTGTTAACACTGTTACTTCAGGTAAAGCAAGCAATTCTACAAGTTTTGGAATAATTCCAGAATCAACAACAGCTTGTATTTTATCATTGGAACCATCAGTGAGGTATGAAAGAGCCCAACAAGCATCAGCTGTAATGATATATCATATTGTTAGAAAATGTATTAATAAGCAATATACAAAATCAACTTACCCAAGATATCTTTATCAGTATTACTAAGTAAACGGTTTAATACTGGAAGAGCAGTTCGTACAATTTCAAATGGAGGTGGTGGATTTTTATTACGACACAGATTTGATAGTGTCCATACAATATTACGAGTGAAGGTTACCTATATTAATAATAATTATTATTAATAGCCTTGTACTTATATAAAAAGAAATATACATATTATACATACAGAAGTATCAGGTTTAATTAATTCCAATAAAAGTGGCATAGTATCATGACCAAGAACAAGATCACGAGCCATTGGTCCATCACCAGCAATATTTCCAAGTGCCCACACTGCTTGTTCAGCAACATTGGGTGATGCAGATTTGAGTAATGCAACTAGTTTTGGTATAGCACCATGTTTAACAACAAATTGAGTTTGCTCTGTTGTACCAGATGCTACATTAGTTAGTGCCCATGCTGCTTCAAATTGCAATGCAGGACTGAAAGCATTTGAATTAAGTAACAAATAATTCATAAACTTAGTAAAATTAGAATGAATATACTATAATATATATACTTGTGGTTATAATCCAAAAATTCAACACATCGTGGAACAATTCCTTGTTTTATCATATTGTCTATGGGAGGATTCTTTTCCCGACTCAACATTTTTCTGCATGCTTGAGTTGCTTGAAGTTGAATTGTTTCATCTGAAGATTTCATATCATTAACAATGTCATTTATGGATGTAGAAAGTCGGGAATGACTATTTTCATCTGTGGAAGTTTGTTGTTCTTTGCCAATGCTTAAATTTCGTCGTTTAAACAATTGTTCATCTTTTCTAGCTTTACGCAATTCCACTGATGCTTCATTTCTTCTTCTTCTTGCTTCCTACAACAATGAGTTATATGTTTTACTAAAAGTGTAATATTTAATAAAAATTTGAACTTTATGCAGTTTGCAATTAACTTACATCGTGTTTGTAATTAAATTTAAAAGAAGATTTTCGGGCACAATCATCTTTTGGTGCGGGCATTTTCCAAATGGAAATCTCTGAAATTTATAAGCAATATTAATACTTAACATACATATTTACACGAATTACACGAAATTAATTTATAACATTTGTAAATATATATTTATAAAAATTTATTTCATGATTATACAATTTATAATCAACAAGTTGAATATAAATCAACAGATTTATAGGTTACTGTTCATATTTAAATGAGACGTTATTTCAAATCTGAGTTTCCTAACGGTTATTTACATGCTTCTTAAGTACTTTCTTTGTTACATGAACACTTTTTACAACACAATTTAAAATAATGAAATTTGTTCAAAATACATTATTTACCGTAAATATGACAATAAATATTAAAAGAAAACGTTGAGAATTTAAATTATTAGGCACTTTAGAATGATCACGACCTGCGCGTCAATACGCAATTGAGTCAGCTACGCGCGAGAGACGAAAAATAAACTATTGTCTATCTTCGTCCAATTATAACTTCCATTTTTGTGTGACGAAATAAGATACTGCATTACGATTGGTGGTTAAAATTACGACAATATATGATCAGTTGTTTAATAATTAACGTTCAAATTTTAAATTAAACTGTATCTCAAATATAATTTTGATCATTTATAATTTTGCTACACTTTCGTACTCAAGAAATAGTGCCCATGTGTTTGTATATTTTCTTCAAAAGCTGAAAAAACTGTTATTCTTATACAAGCATTTTATTATTTTTTAATTTTACTTTTCTATTATTTCATGATTTTAGTATTGTACAATAATTCTACTATTTTATTATTCTGAACAATTTTACTTCTAACAAGGGGAACATATCAACAAAGGAAGCTTGCAATTATCTCCTTTAATTCCGGAAATATTTTCAAAAATATGATTTCAGCCCTTATATTTGAGGGCTACTATCATCCCTTCAATGTGAACGATGGCCGATATAAAAAAATACGTGTCAAATATTTCCTTGAGAACTATCTTTCACATAAGTTTCATTGAAATCGGTGTGTCCCGGTTCGATATGTTCCCTTATAAGAATTTAAAATAAGTTCAGTTGACATTTAACCGTAATTTTACTCTGTGTATATATTCGCTTATGCCATAATATAAGAAATGTCCTACAAAAATAAATTACAGCAACCTAATAATCAATGTTTGCCACCAAATAAAAACCATCGTAACGGATGTTTATTTCAACTTGATACCATTGTGTAGGGTCAAAATGATACATGAACATGTATGTGTATGTCGCATATATGTATGTTCTATGACTGTACATCATATATCCTTTCGTAACGTTATTTACTTGTTTCTACAAAAATGCTATATAAAAAATTGAAATTTCTATAAAAGAATGTATAATCATTCAACATTAATAAAATGTAACTTATGCTTAAGGAACATACAGTGATCACCACTGTATTATTAACATTTTTTATATTATTGAAAACTTCATATTATTAAAGAATATATACATATAAAATAGTTTACAATAAATGTTAATAGAAAAAGATAATTTATATTACACAGCATAAATAACTTATCATCTATTTAATGTACAAAATTATTAATACTGTACAAAGATTACATAACAGGTATTGTAAAAAAAAACAGTGTTATTAGAATGTTATATATTTTATATGAATTACTTAGATTCATTCACTTTTAATATTATAAAATATTACAATTTTAAGCGTATATTTAAAAACGTTTTCATTGTATTTTTAATGAGATACAGATGTATCATAGTAGAATTTTTCTGAAGTAAATAAATGTTATTTCTTCTTCATATTTGCATATAGCTGGTACAATGTAAAACAACATATAACTTGTAACATATTCACTAAGTGGAATATTTTACTGTATCATGTTTGTGAATGGTTTCACGAAATACATGATTCCACAGTTTTTTTAACAGCATCACGCGCATATGGTATATAAGATAAAGAATACCATGTCATTGCCACCGATTGAATAATTATAAACAATAATGCCAAGCCTGGATTTTTGAGCTAAAAATAACATTTTACATATTAAATAAAATATATTTTGCTGTTATAATATATAAATATAATACAATTTATTTTTCTATACTTACATAAGCTGCAAATAGTGTCATTCCAATTGCAACAAATACTAAAATAGTTGCCACAATTCTTGTTGCAGCAAACATTTTCTTTAATTGACTACAAGGACCCATTAAGAAACATGTGCTAAAAATAACATAAAAAATATCTGCCTTAAAAAAATTTATATGTAATTCTCCAGATTTCAATTACTTTTCAGTGGATTTAATTTCCAAATAAGAATCAATGAAACCAACAATATTTCATATCTATAACTTATGAACTTTAATAAAGTTTACATTACTATATTGCAAAGGCTACTACTACAAAATCTTATAACAAATAACTCCAGGCACTATCTACCTCTCCTTTACCTCTACTTTATTTTTTGGGCAATAAGAAAGAGATTAAGCTAAGTTAATCAAATTCAAAAGAAGAAATTAAATTATTACAAAGTTAAGCATATTTTTCTACCTTGCTAGTGAGATGATATTTCCTAATGTATAAAACACAGCAAATAGTGTAAGTCCCTTGTGTAAAAATAAAGCAAAAGATCCAAGGAAAGAGCATAAAATGCCAACAATAAAACAAATAGCAAAACCTTTTATTCGAGTCGACCAACTCAATGTATTTTGGTCCATAACCTAAAAACAAAAGTATCATGTAATATATGTTAAATTAAAGTAAATATATTTTCATTGTTAATAAATAATGTTGGTGAAAAATAAATAAATTTTATATTTTTTTAATTTATATGCTTACCACAAAATCCACATCAGTCTTCCATTAATAATTGTGAGCATTTAAAATAACAATTTTATAGAAGTAAAATGAAATACAAAATATATTGTGGAAATTAATATAATTCAAATGAATTACCTGTCTAATAATACCGCTTTCTTCGTCGCATTGTTCATTGCCACTTAAAGCTCTTCTTAATTTATCCATTTTCGCTTTATGTCAGTAACTACTATTCTACAAAAAATAATATTCTTATCTGCAATACAAATATAAATTAATATCCTCCCATGTTATAAGTGGTCCATTTCTTGTAAATATGACTCATTTCAGTACTCAATATCAATAGGGTAACAATTATACGAAAAATAATATTAACACTTTATATATTAGAAGATTAACAATCAATGAACGTATATCTAGTAAAACAATGTAAACTTTCTTGTGATCAAACAAACACTGTAATTTACTATATAAAACATCTGTTTCTCTTTATGCTTCATACTTCAATACACTTTACATATCTATATATATATGTTTCAATACGTGAAGATGTGCATGATTCACAAAAGGATATTCAGTGATGCAACATAAAAAAATTGTTGAGTGATATTTATAAAACTAAAATGTTTCAATTACAAAGGTATTTGATAGGTCATAATGATAAACTACATAAATAAATATATTATTTACATATATATCAAACATAATGAATAAAGCTGTATGATATAGTAAATTAAATTCTTAATGCTTGCATGATAAAGTGTAGAATTCAAAAATAGTTTCATCAAATAACTTTAAATTTTTTTTAGACTTATACGAGGAAAGACAATGTTTATTTTTATGTAACTATTTTGTTTATTTACAATTATATTACAGTAGTCATTTTAAAATTATATATAATGAGAAATCTTTAGAGTTCGATTATGTATGTTACTATAAATACAAAATTAAGAAAAGAATGTATATATAATGTATACTTATTTATTTAATGATATATATACAACATACAAATACATTTAAAAAGAGAAATGTATTTTACGTATAAGCAGATGAAATTTCATGTACATAATTTGCAGCTTCTTCCTCTCCATTACCTCTTAACAAATTCTCCATATCTAGAAGAGATAAAGATGCCTGAACCTAAACAAATTTTTGTTAAAATAATTAAATGATTATATGAAATTTAAAGTAGCTTTATATTATAAAATATGTAACTTACATCAATATAATTTAATAAAAGCAAAGACGGACTTGATGAACTTTGATGTAGAGTTTTAAAAATATATTCAAAATTTAACTCTTTTATGAGTTTCTTCCAGCCTTCTGTTTTATCCAAAATATCAGATAACTTTTTTTTGTGTTCATCATTTAACCAACTCGTAGATAAATTTTTATCTTCGATTTCTAGTTTTGTAGTAACTGAACACATTTCATTTGTATTTTCTTCAGTTTTCCCACTAAAGAGCTGTAAGATCTTTAAAAAAGAATATTTTTTTAGTACTTACGAACTTACTATACATATAAAACTAACTGCTAAATTGACATTAATTTTTCTTTGACTGATTTTTTATTCGACTCTATTTGTGTAAATAACAATATAACATGTACGTATACAAATATAATAACGTAATTTACATCTGGTTTATTCATGGCTAAATCAAATGATGATTGTCCAGCAGTTCCTTCTGTATTTTCATCTCCTGAATCAATTTCCTCTTTTATAGTGACATTACCTCCTTTCCTTTTTTCTTCCTATTTAATTGATAAAATCAAATATGCTTAATAAATTTGACATTTAAAATAAATTTATAAAATATACGTGTAAACTGTAAAAAAAATACATACATTATTCATTTCTCGATTGTGATTCTGAATATGGGGATCTGCACCATATTGTAATAGTAGTGCACATAATTCTTTTGCTCTTACTCCAGAATGTACAACTGCAGTATGTAAAGCGGTATTGCCACTGAAATTTCTTTTATTTACAGATATATTTGTCTGTAATAAATAAAAATACGTGACATTGACAATAATTAATATGATAAATATATTAAAACAAAAATGGTGCACCTTTGTAAGTAAAAATTTAACAATGTTTTTATGTCCACCTTCTACAGCTATATGTAATGCTGTTCTACCATAAGACATATCCGTACTGTTTACATTTGCACCTGCTTTAACGAGGGAACATACTGCATTATATGAACCTGCTTCTGCAGCAAGATGCAATGCTGTCCATCCAGCATCATTGTACAATTCAATGTTAATTGCTTTCTCTGACAATAAAGCATCGACGCAAGCACCACCTTCGGGAACTGAAGTGTACATTAATAAACATAGATAATTGAATTTTTAGTGATTGAACTTACTTCTTACAGCAGCATGTAATGGTGAAAATCCATGTTCATCTATTCGATTTGGATCAGCTCCAAGCATAAGTAATGCTTCTGTAACTTCTGGTAGATTTTGTAAGACAGCATAATGTAATGGTGTCTGAATAAAGTATTTTGTATTAAAATAATTATATTACAGTATTTCATATTTTAATGTAATTTAATTTTAATTGAAAAAAAGAATATTTACTTTTCCAGAACTATTCTGCCCATTTACAAGTGATTTACAGTCTTTGTCAGTACTTATAAGCATTAGAATATATTTGACGATATCACGTTGACCATACCGAAGGGCAGCATGTAATGGAGAATCTCCATAGGTAGAACGATCCTTGAGCAGCTTTGGAATATGTTCTTTCATATTTGTTGAATCCATTTTCATACATTTTATAGCTTCAGTAAGTATATTTTTAGCAAACATTGTATCATCATAATACTAGCAAAGAATTTATGTTGATTAGTGGTTCAGAAATAAATTATATTAAATTTAATTTGAAACAATTAAAATAAAAAAAAGGAAGAATGTATACCTGTTGAGTTAATGGACCATCAGAAGTCAACATATTTCCATCGTTGTTTTCAATATGTAATAGATATTCTGCAAACATATTAAAGATTTTAGATTTTTAATACTTTAAATTTTAGAAGAACAGCACACTTCATACTCACGATTAATGTCCATACAATCAATGAAACTTTTTTGCATTGGTGAAGAACAACCTTCAGAAAGTAATCTTTTTATTTCCCTAGAAATATCTTGACTATCGCCACTTAAAATTCCTGATATATTGTCGACAGGAGCATTATAAGTTGGAACTATGTGTGACAATTCTGAACTTCCAGAGTGAGACATACGTTGCCGTTTTTTACCTATAAGTACATCATTTTAATTTTATTTTATATACTCAAAGCAATTGTTCTTTATCGTTTACCTATAATTTTGTCACTTGGTTTATACGTAAATTTTTTTGGTTCAGAATAATCTGCATCAGACGGTCGTTCTAACTGTATAAAAACTTCTTTTGGCGAAGTAATATTTTGATCTTTATATGGTGGAGTTCTGTAGAAAAAAAATATATATTAATTTGTATATAATAAGATCATTTATAATTAATTTATTTATTGAATTTAAATTCCAACATACTTAAATACAATAGCATATTGATGATGAACATCTAATTCCGTAAAGCGTCCATAAGCACTCCAAATTTCATGACCATTTTCATTTAATTCAAAAAATTTTATTTTAATATTTTCTACGGCAAAAAAATAAAAAATTAAAAAATAATAATCGTTTTATATTGTTGAGTTTCCTCTTCTTGTACATTATATATACTAATCGAAATAATATTTACTTTTTCCCACTTTCTCTACAAGTATAAATATTTCTTCATTTCCTTCAACTGAACTGGTATATTTATCAATCCTGCATATTTTAAGTTCTCCAGTTAATGCACTTTCTGGTAAATTACAAATATTAGTTTCTTAATTACCTTTCTCATAAATACAATACATAAACATAAGTGTTTATAAGTTTTAACATATTATAAGTTTTCACTTACTGAGATTATTAATAGAGTGTGAATAAACAGGTGCTGTTATTGGACACATAGTATTATCTTTATCAACAATAAATGCTTGAAAACATAATGCAACACTATTTAAATTCATACATTTTTGGTAGAATTCAGCATCAGCTTTAATCTTTAAAAATAACCATACATTAAAATAAGAGATCAAAATATTTTTATTAAAAAATAAAATTCTATAAAGTAATAATATTTTACACACCTGAGCTTCTTCTCGAGTACTAAGAATGCCTTTATTTCTTTCTAAAGCTTCCAGTTTCATCTTGCGAATAAGTTCATCTCTAACATGCTTTTTTGCAGTATGTATAATTCCCATTCCGTGAAATCTGTATGTTATATCAGTTAAATAAGTGTTTTATAATATCTGTGATTGATAGTTCTAAGTTAATGCATTTTCATTACATAAAATTAGTAAATTAGTATATCATATCACATACGCTACAGTATAACCAGTTTCAGGAGACACTTTAATATGATATGGTTCATCATAATCAACTCCACCATCTCTATATACTAATCTGTGTGCATGAGGTATTCTTCGACCTTCATCAGATGTAACTAATGTACATCTAATTATTGCAGGCTCCAAAAAATTGTGCAACTAAATAAGATATTTAAATTATTCAATAAATATATAAATAATTTATTAGATATGTTATATTATATGTACTTGTACTGTTGGTGGACTTTTTGTCCGGCTGCCGCTACTGTTTGATCCAACTAAAGTTCCATGTGTCCCCATCATTTCTGACTTGTACCGGAATCTAAATTTTTCTACTGGTTGTACCAAAATTGTTATATGTGGTTCTCCAATTACTTGAATAAGAATCATAAAAATATTTTACCATATTTTATTTGAAGTTTTATTATATAAAAAACTATTTAAAAATAAAATATACAAATTACTTATTACATATACCTGTTGCATTCTTTAATGACATAAATTCACTATCAGTGAGCGGCGACATCAAAGAAGTCCTGTGCGAATCACTAAATGGACTACAACTACTTTGAGTATTCATTGCCGGTATGTCTGAAGGATAAAAATATGCAGGTATATTTTTTATTAGAAAAACATATGTTATTCAAAAACTTAAGAAATACACTATTTGAAGTATGATATATGTGTGAATACTTTTTGTGACATTTGCTTGATAAGTGTATCATGAAAGTATTTAATAAAAAACATAATTAAATTAACAATTACCATAGTCAAAAGGCAAGAAATTCTCGTTTTCACAAACATTGTTTAAAACCGAGTAATTTTCATAAACTTCAGGCATTGTGCGTTGTTATAAACTGTTTCACAAAACTTAATAAACGTTCACTATTTTTATTATGATAGAATGTACAAATAATGAATATTAAACACTATATAAATAATATGTAAAAGTAAAATAGAAAAGATCTACGACGGCACAGCACGGTTCTCGAACTACTTGCATACTCACCAACATTTATCTTTAATACGTCAAAATATAACCTTGATGGTAGTTGTAGGGTTTCCCCGTATGAGCTCAATACAATGAACCAATCATTTTTTACGCATAATTTTTCTTCAATAAGTGATCGTAATGAGAACAAAGATCTTGATTCAGAATATAATAATCTAATGTAAATGTGTAATTAGTTATAACTAATGTATTTTGATTACATGTATTCGTATTTATGTTTATATACATGCAATCCTGTTATACATATAAATACATATGTATTCAAAATTGAAAAATTGATAAATCAGCACATAAAAAATCGAAATATGCATAATCGACAACATCAATAATGTTACAAATATTAAACCTAGATCAATTTGTTTAAATTGAAATTCTAATTGAAGTATAAAAGTTCAAAACAGAACTTTTTTATTGAAATAATATATAGTAACAAATCGAAAAGTTAATTTATTTTTTCAAAAATGTATATTGTGTGAAAATATTTAAGAGAAAAGAAATATTTTTATATCGTCAGTGAATACGCTCCTGAACCTGTGCATAAGTCATATTTTATATGCATGCAAGTTACATTGTACATCTATGACAGCCGCCGAAATGTTAGCAATGTGTGATACGTATAAGTGAAAGTTTTCTATCTTCCTCTTTCTCCGCTATTTATCTTTTTTAATATTATATCAATAGTGCTAATATTTTATTTGACTGATATCTGTTTAATTATCTTTATCTTAATAATTTCACATATTTTCTTTAACTCAAGAAAAGGTCATCAACGGAACATCGTATGTATAACGACAAAATTCCATTGTGCACCCGAAACTATATATGTAATATCGAATAAATTAATTTTAATCATAATTTGTAATAAACTTTTTGAATAATTATAACCATACTATGATTTTAATATAAACGCTTCTTTCTAATAAATTGTACACTAAATGATGATTATAGACTTCAAGAATTTCTCAATACTCAGAAAAACATTTTTGTACATTTACACAGTAAGGTAAACAATTGTATTATAAATTATAAAATAGTATATACAGTTAACGCACATACAGAATATACTTTTAAAGTAAAACACAAACGATTAAAAGGTACGAATTTTCTTAAACCGGGAAACAGAAAATGACACGCAAAGATAATGACGCATGTCGCGTGAAAAGATATACGTATCCATATAGCATAGTTGCATGCAGGGCCGTCTTAACCAAGTACGTGTTTAGAGCGTCGAGAGAAGCAACCTACTACAATTGTTGATAACTAAATTTAACTAAACGTTCAAAATTTCGAAATCTTAATGTTTTAAATTCCAAAGCTCCAAAGATTTTAAATTTTACAGTCAAAAAACTCTGAAGTTTTAAGATTCAGAAATTCCAAAGTGGAAAAGTTCTAAAAGCCCAAAGTTCCATTTCGTAAAATAAAATTTTGTTGCAATGTGTATTTTAGATTAAAAATATATACTTATATGAATGCACAAAAATCCTGGAAGTGTTTGGGGTCTCTCGAGGTCTTAGTTCGGCCCTGATCACGTCGCGAATATATATCTATACGAAATACGTATACAGGTATCAATCAGCTGGGTGCACGTGAGCACAGAACACGTGCATCAGTCATTCGTAGCGTGTGGCAGTGTTGTGCGCGGCTCAAACACAGCGGTAAGCTTGCTGCCAGATCAAGACCGGTTTACAGAAACAAAAATATTTAAATACCAGGTTTTTCGTGACAAGAGTTTTCAGAAACGTAACGTGATAAACGAATTCTCCATACAAAAAGTAAAAACAATTTTATTATATTTAATACGTATTTCGTTGATTAATCGTAAAATAAATATCTACATTCGATAGGTGTGATCAATCATTCGAGCATTGATTCCATTTTTCCAAGGAAATATGTGTAACTAAGTTTGGCGAGTAAATTGCAGAAATTCTTGAATGATTCTTCATGAAAAGGAAAGTTGTGATGTTAACAGATGTGAATAGTTTGAGAACATAATATTTCTTTGAAATGTGATTGACAATTATTGGTTAGAATGTCGATATACGACAGCAGTGTACTAATCATATGGATATTTGTTTTAGGTACAGCATCCAGATTGATGCTAACGTTGATTCATTGCAAAAGTAAATGGGTTTCGCTTCTAATCAATCCGAATTCATTTTGCAAAGAATTTTTTATCAATCTGCCCACTTCTGTAGTGCAATTTGCGATCACTTGGAAATTACCGTTTTGGAACAGCGTAAAATTCAATCACAGCCAGGATAATAGGTAATGACTTTAACCTTAATTTGTGATCGTTCGTGACATGTCATCATTTTTATTTTTCGTTTATTTCGAGACTAATTGGCGGGAAATATACGGAACGTTTAAATTCATTTATTGAGGGTTTCAGAAATCGATCTTTGAACGACGCAATGTAACTTTGCATCGTGAAAAAATCATGATAAACCTTTTAGAAATATTGCCATCGATATCTGTTTGCGAACTATTGCACCGTATATCGGTACTACGTTTAATTCCTTATCCGGCAATAGAATAAATATGCAAAGTCATGGTTGTTAATTGTATTTTGTTGTTTCTATTTCAAACAGAATGCAGTATTTACGGAATATAATTTTTTCAAGTTAAAAATATGTAACACTGATTGTTATTAACTTGGTAAAAACTGTTATTTTAATAATGAGGCAAAAAGAAACGAAAAATTTGAAATTTTCTTATTATTGTACTTAACGTATCGATTAATACGGGGATTACAGGTGGTTAATGACGTCGCAGCGCTATAATTAAAACCATTAAAAAACGATAAAAGTCTGAATACCATTATTGACTCTGGGTTTCAAACTGACGTACATTATTGGGTTGTAATATAAATACGTAATGTTAATTGTTTTTTCGCAATACAGTTTTTCCCCCACGATATAACATGTGGTTATACAACGGTAATATAACGCGTGGGTATAAAACGATATAATGCTTGTTATAGAGCAGTGGTGCGATGTACCACGATATATAATATTTTACGCGATGTGTTGCAACATAGCACGGAAGAATATACGATATATGGCGATGTACAACGCTATAACAATAGAATATTTTTTAACAGAAAAATAATTTTGTAATTAATTTATTATTTTTAACTTATCAATAACAGGTTGTTTGTCGTAATAGGTTCGATAAATGATCGAGTATTTCCCAATCGATGTTTAATTAGTTAACAATTTATATCAGTTTCCTTTCTCTTCGTGATACACGTGAGTCGTAACACGTGAATGGTCTACTGGGAACTGGCAACATGCTGCATAAGTCCATGACCTCCTTTTGCACATTTCAACGTTTTATTAATCACCAGAAATGTTAAATTGTCGATTATTGTGTAAAAATTGGGATTATTCCTTTGAGACATTTTTTAATGTATTCAATCAACTTTAGAAATTCTTCGCGCTACTATTCACACAGAGGGTGGAAATTTGATGAACCTTTTATTCGAATCCTAGCTCTGGTTATCACGATACCAAGCACGTGGTACTTTAGAAGTAATTGCATGAATAGCAGCACTAAATTTGCCCCTATACAGAGTTGATTTGTGAATAAAATAGGGTCTTTCATATTTTCCGACAGTTTCATTACCTTTTGCTAGTTGCTCAATTCTTTTAAATTATTGCTCTGTTATTAATTGCGACTATAATTGCAAAAGTATGCACTTCAAATAACTGAATAATGAACGTACAGTAAAAAGGTAAAATCAATGATCTAAAATTAATACTTTCGCTTTGTCCAAATTGCCGAAACTGTCCTTCCCAACCACCCAATTTCATTACGGTATATCGAGCATCCTGAAGCCAATCATGCCATTTATACCGATCCCTTTATCGTTAAAATCCACGTGATCATTATATCTAGACACGTGAATAGCCTACTTATTGTTGCCTCGAGGATCGTTTAGTCCGTGAACAAGTTCCGCATGCGGTCTCCCGCGGTCCTTTTACCGGTCTCACCGTCTTAAGTTGTACACTCCCCTTTAAAGGAGCACGTTGTAACGACACATACCTAGGCACGTGCATGGCCTAGTCGCCTGGCCGACTCTATGATCCCGATGTTGGGGCTTGCACAACTATTACGTGCCTTTCCAATCGTCCTTTCGCTTTTTCTCTGCATCTCCACCGAGAAGGCCGCACGAACGAACTTTGTAAGACAGTGTGATTCTCGACAGCACTGTATTCGTTTGCACCAAGCATTTCCGAAAAGATAGTCGCGTATCGTCTGCATGTTTTCACGGATATCTTCATTGCAGACCATAGTGTTAATTTGAAAATCAAGTTATGCATTCCCAGAATTTCTAACAGCGTGATATTGCAATCATCACAGTAAGCTTTAAATTTTCTTCCGTTGTTGATGAAACGTTCCGCATCGTAACACTTTTAATGATGAAATAGGAACGTCTCAGATACTTTCCCTGTTTTGGTGGTGAAATAGTAATCTTCTTAGTCGAGTTAGCTTTAAATTTTCATCTTGTCAGCAATGAAATAGAAACGTTTCAGTTGTGCAAGTAAGCTTTAAATTTGCTTATATTAGCGATAAAAGAGCGGTTGTGACACTAAACTTTAAATTTACCACTTCCTGTGAGATAGACATGCTCTAGGATAACAGTGCGCTTTGTCTTTTCCGGACAGTCAAATAATAATGTTCGGAACTATTAATAATCTATAACATAAAAGCAAGTATGTATGTATCAAAACATATATTACTAAATTTTTACTATTGATCCTAAGTTCCAAATTGATCTTTGGTTCTTGCTTTTAGAGTTCGTTTGAATAAATAGTTATTACAATGAAAAGTTAATGTCTATCATTGAGGGGGCTGTTAAGTATCATGATAGAATCACTAATTTCGAATTACGAATTTTGCAGTTGATAAACTTGAGGATGAACATTGTTGGTTATTATTCGTGGAAACAGTGTTAATTATAGTTATTAATGAAACGTTTGCTGGTAGATGCTGGCACTAATGAAGACTGCAAAACCCACTTTCCTGGAGATCGATAATGACAAGTTTGAAACCATCATGAAAATATCAAACAAGGATACGATCGAACAAAAGAAGGAGTGTTCCAGTAACGATGCAGACCCCTCAAAAACTTTACAACTGTTACGAGTCAAGGGATTTCCCCGATTATTACCTGAAGGTGTGATCTGTTATTAGTTATACGATATCTGATATCCAATCGTTATCTCTCACTTATGAAGCTATTTATGTAACTTATACGATATCGATACTCGGCTGCAACATAGGCTTTCTTTGTTTGAACATAAATGTGGAAGAAACTTTGGAAAAACTTAGAGACAGACTTTAGAGGAGTCTAGTGTAGTATATAAAGTCCAAATTTCTAAATTTCCGAAAATCATAAAATTCCCAAATTCTAAGGATGATTGTATCGACATTCCTTTTTTCCGTTGAATTAAAAGAGGTCTACGTTGCACCAGTTTCAATGACTTCCTTTTCAAATTTTATCTCGTGATTTAATTATATTACAGGTATTCAGGCGTTAGTCAGTTATTGCCGGTACCTACAGGAGCTATCATTATCGTATTCGCTTATCAGTGACGACTTGCTACTAGCTTTAAGTGCAGAGAAACAGATTCAGTTAGAAACACTACGGCTGGAAGCGCATCCGGAGACGAAACCACTTCCGCGTGTCAGTGACAAAGCATGGTTTACGTTTTCGAGTAGTCTTCCAAATATAAATCTTGTATTGTGAGTGTATTTCTATTTTGGATATTCAGTATTGGATGTCCTATATTCTAGGTATCTCACATTACGCAAGGGGACAGGATAACTAGCGTTTAGTTCTTACTTACTTAATTATACCAGTACAAATAACTCATTTTGTCGCATTTTTATTCTGAAGATTATATAATAAAGAAAATTAGTCATATGACCTTTTAAAATTGACTTAGCGATTAGAAAAAGTTTGTAAAAAAATCGACTTTTTGAATCCGACTGACAAGTCTATTCTCTTAAAATGCCATGTCTGCTTATGAATAAGCGAATGAATCATTATTCTACAGTGAAGTAAATAATGTTTTGTTTGTACATTGCATTAGGTTATCTTACATGACAAATGATGATGATCAGACACCGCTGATTGCTCCTTGCGTTCCTATTACACATCTTTACTTTGGAGAAGCGCCATCCGAAGCGACCGTGTTATGCATTGGTTATCAATGTCCTCGATTGGTCGAATTGGTAATCGCTGCTTATGGACCTGATCTACTTGATCACGCCTTACTCTCTATCGCCGATGGTTGTCCACGTTTGAACGCCGTTGGTTTGGGCGATTGTGAAGTCACGTATGTATTATAATAACGTTTACGTTTACTTTGTATTGACATAGATGTGCCTCCTCTAACTCACATGTATGGTAAATAGCTATAAATTTAGTTACTTTTATTTGAATTTGCTAATTGATCAATAATTAATACAGTATACTAGTGAAGATTATATGAGAACATCATTTTGTTCTTTTCCATTTCTCTTCCAGTTATTTTGCAATTTCAGCTATAAATTAATTATTGCTGCAATTTATTGCAAAACCAGCATGGCATGGTTACATTAACTGTTGCTAATGATCTTTTTTTGTCATGGTTAGTTGCTCAGGATTATTGGAATTTGTTACACGGTGTGCGAAACGTTTACAAGTACTGTACGTTTGGGAAACGGCATTGGTCGAGGATTCAGATCTTGATGTCGCAACTGTATCAAAGAATGTGTCGTTGCTCCTTGGACGTACTTGGGTACCTGAATATATACCGTTGTATTGAAGCTAGATAAGTAACCGAAGCAATTTATATCCCATGTGATTGCACATAGTTGCTGACAATAGTTTGCGCATATACCGTAAATGTGCGTAAGTGATAAATCAGACTTTACAGATAACCCTTTTCTATTTTTTACATAAATCAATTATGTAAGTGACCACATTATTTTGGATCGTAGATTAGATTGTATTGTATACACGTTTCCAATATTCTTACAAGTACTATATATAAAAAAAGTATTTCAGAAGAATTTTAATTTTGTTAATTTTTCTTTAAGGAAAAAAGAAAATGATTTGTATATAATTTTCTATGTTAGCAAGGGATTAGCAATTGTTATTAGAAAAACCATAATTTCGTTTCATTGTAGTTCTCATTAAGTTGTATTTATAAGTTGATGTTCGAACGATTTCGTGTAGTTCATGAAAAGCTGAAACTCTTGGCGTCGTGAAAAATTAGAATGAACAAAAAATGCCTCGTATTGTAAAAATTGCTCGTATCTGTTAATACCAAAAATATAAACTTTATTAGATTATAATGGTATCCTTTTGCGTGTGATGTATATAAAATAAAATAATATTACTACTTATTTACCAACTGTCGCTCATGATAGATATGTATAATATACATTAATTGATATAGTCTATAATGTTATTGTAATATAACAGAATATGTACATTATTTCTACATTATAACACAATAAATGGTTGGATATACTTAGTAGTTATATCTAATAACGTTATCACTTAATGTTTTTCACGATTAAACTTCTTTCTTTGTTTGTTTAATACACGTGATTATTTTTATTTCTTTTTATTAGCATTTTGCTGATGCTATTCTAAAGATGCGAGGTGCTCAGTCTTGTATCCCAGCCGATATATCCAATCTTTTGTTTTATAAGGCCGATTCAAAATTTTCATGTTCGAACAACTTACGTATTTCGGTTGCTTTTATTATAGGGATGTACGGAATTCAAAAGCTTCGACATACGCGCGCAGTCTAATTTCGGGTTAGTTCGACAAAAATCTACACTCTGATTTTCAAACAAACTTCCCAATTTAGAAATTTAGAAGTTTCCAAATTTTCTATCTAATCATCTAACTCGATTCTGTCTAAAGTTCCAGTTCTCGAAGCGCAGAAAAATCCGTACACCTCTAATTTACGACAATGTATGTTAATACGTATAAGAATCTGCATCATTTTTTGTAAAAATTTTAATGTTATATAAGATATAACATGTTAGCGTATCGAACAAATATTGTTACACTCTTTAGGAGCATCATAACATCTTCCTTTTTGACTGTTTGTAAGAAACAGCAGTTTTAAAAAACATGATAATAATAATAAAAGTTAACTTATTTGACATAACACAACAATGGCATACACTTGTTACGTTATCGATTAGAAAATGCAGTATTCGTTACTCGTAGAATTTTTTAAGCAATTAATAAATGATAAGCGTACGCAAAGATCTAATTTAAGGCTTAAAGTAACAGAGCCCTTTGAACACGTTTGCCGTACATGTTAAAATTATACTATCTCTTCATTAATATCAATACGAATATTTTAACGAGAAATATTGAAAAATTCTTAGGAACACGTAGAAAAATTATTCTAATGTAAATGTATGGCTTTTGTTCTTAATCTTCTATGTTCTTAACATTCTTGTTGCGAACATGGATCTAGGTTTCTTAAACTAAAAATTATTTTTAAAAAGGGCTCAAATACACGTAAAATATTTCTATGAACAAGAAAAAATGTAATTTTCAATTTTATTATCATTGCCCTATTAACAATCACTCTGTTCCTGAATTGCACTGATTTTTATAAATTTACTATGTAAATACTATTGTTAAGTCTCATTCAATATGAGCATTCACATTATTAAATAATGTAGAAGACGAACGGAGTTTTCTTTTCGTTTTTTAAAATAAAATGTAAACACAACGAATTATTCGCAACGTTTACAATAATACGCGTGTGATCTACTAAAATTTTGTATCACCAAAGAATCAAACACTTGCGCATTAACTGAAACTTAATTACATACATAATAAATTTTCAGACATGATCTGTATAGTGCTAGTAGATTCTATAACATAGTAGAACTATTTACATTGAATATTTTCCTTAATAATAAAATTCATTAATATTTCTAACGCTTTGCAGGAAAATCAATTTAAAATATAAAGTAATTATAAATCAAACTTTGCTCTACACAGATCACAGTATATATCGAGGTTTAGAACGGATTTTAAACGCGATTCACAGCTGCATACAAACTATTTAAAATATCATTAACTTTTAGCACCACCTTAGGCATATTTGCTATCTTTTGTATCTGCTACTTTTGGCAAAATAATAGTAACGCTATTGTTACGCAAGTTCACTATTAACAGGCATAACAAAATAGGTCAGCTATTATCCTATATTATTAAAAAGGAGCAATCAAACAAATGGACGGGTTGGTTACTTACTCTACGCGTAATTTAAGTTTGGGTACACGTAAAACTAACGCAGCTTTAAAAGACATGATATTTTTGAGCATCGCGGCTGCTAAATTTGCTCGTGGGGCCTTTTCTCTAAATGTATTTAACGTACAATTTTCTCGTAACTATTTCGTTATTGATTAATTAATTTTAAAAAACTTTGAGACTTTTCACGTCATAGTCTTTCTTTTTACATCTTTTACTTCTTACGAAAATCTACGATAATTATAAAAAGCTTAAGCCCCAAGAACAAAATAGATAATATAATTATTATGATTGCCTCGGCGCACAATATATTTAACAATAACACACTTATTGTGTTCGTTCTGATACACTTTACTCAAAATAATAGTTTTCTTTCCATAATAGATTTCTCTATTATTTACGCACCTGTATCTGTTACTTGTTAAGATATGGCTTCTGGTGTGGACCAGTCATATCAATAAAAACATTTCAAGTACCTGAGTCGATCCTACAAGGATTATAGAAGAATATTGTAAATTTTCGAGTTTAAATGCCATGGTACAACTTTCTAAATCATAATTTATACATACCTAAAAAAAACAATCAATCGGGCATATCAATGGATACTATGGGTACCACAGGTTTTGTTAGGTCGATCTTCTTGAAATGTTTTTCATTCTTTTCTGAGACCATTGGTTCTGATGGTGGTTGATCTTGTTCGCTTCTTGGTTGATAAGAAATATTACCATATTCTTGAAGCAATGGGCATAATCCTAATAAAAAGTGACAAAAGTCTTTCCTGATACCAAACCACCCTAAAATTAATAGCAACATTTAGGTATTAATATTATTACTATAATGTTTAAGCTTTTATAAAAAGTGCTTCTTACATCTATTTCCTCCTTTTGCATCGAAAGACATGAAAATGAGAGTTATGTGAGATATTAAAAGTGGCATTGCTACTGTAGTATAATTTAATGAAGTATCCCCATCCAATTTGTTTGCTATTAATACCTAAAATTTGTTGAAACAATATTAATATAACATTCAGAGATTACTTTGATGTTTCAATAAAAGTTATGGCTCTTACTTGGAACACTAAAGTTGGAACCACAAGAAATGTATATGCCAATGCAGAATTTAAAGATGTCCGCCTTTGTCTGGCATTAATCTGTGGTGTTCTTAATAAAACAGCAGCAAATACTATTGCATATAGAACTGCTACTAAGGATAAGCATAATAGTGCCCAAAGAGGCACAAATACTACTTCCCAACTCCATGTTACAAAGCCATCTAATCTTAATGCCAAAAAAATAAACTGTAATACATTGACTGCACAAAATAATTCAAGTTCAAATGATCTATCATGTTTTGCAGCCCAGATACAGACCTAAAAATATAAAAATATTTGTATTGTTTGAAAATTAATTTGTATCACTTTTGTATGAAATTTAAAATTACTTACAGCTATTGATACTATAGAAATGAAGATAAGTGGTATAAATACAAGTATCCAAAGATGCCTTTCAGATTCTAATTTATCACATACTAATAATTCAAACATTAACAAGATCAAATGTAATGCCAAAGTAATTAACATTGCTTTGTAATGTACATAAGCATCTCCTTCTAATCTTGCATGAGGATGTCTCCACCAAACATAACTTCCAACAGTAGCACCCAGAATTACCATACTCTTCCAAAACCATATTGGAATAAAGACAGTCCAATAACTCCATTCAATGAAACCATCCAAGCGAAGGGCAAACAAGATTGTAAATATCATTAAACATGAGTGTACCAAAAATTTGCTAAAATATAAAGTAAAAGGAATTAATATAATGTTACTTTATCTTTATATATTTTATTTCACTTATATATATTCGTATTACATATTAAATTTAATATTAATATAATTTTTAAATATTTGTTAAGATCAGAACTCGCAGTAATACTTAACACATATGATATTAGATATTTCTCAAAATGATTACCAAATTTAATAATGGCAATTAACTTAGTAAAATATTTTTCTACTATACATAAAACAATGAATTACATTATGAAATTCGATAGTAAGTAAACTTTGAATAATTTATGTTACAGTCAACGATATTATAAAAATGATAAAATATGCAAAACAGAACGACGAAAATTCGCCTAAAATAAATGACCGACCTATTTAAAAGTATATCTTACATTAAAACGGGAAATATCAATAGGCTGAATTGCCAAAAAGATTTGTTGCAATTTAATTCGTGTAGATGTAACAAAGAAATAGCATCGAAAATTAAATTATTTAGTTTCTACGTATATAAAAATAATACTTATTTTTATTCATCACTTTCCCTTTTTATTATATAAATTCTTATAAAAGAAACTTTAACATATTGCATAAATTCATTGTTTATTCGTTTGAATAAAATCTAAATAATCCGCGTGTAAGGTTTTACCTTGGATTGAAATCTTGAAACAATGTTTGCAGATTCATGATTATCAGAAAGGTTTTATAGGCCAACTACTTGATACAAATCTTCGTGATGACCACCATGTATACATACATTCCACTAAAAATCGCTTCATTTACAACAAAATTTATCACGGAAGAACACAAACGGCGGATTCTGCATTTGTGTTCAAAGAAAAAAATAAACCCCACCGTATTACATGCAAAAATTCGAATTGTACTGAAACTAGCCAAAGGCCAACAGCTGACGACATTCGATATATGTAAATGCAACTTAAACGTTAGCAGGAAACTTCGTACTTGTTTAAAATGCATGTATAAATTAGAATTTGCAAAATATGTAATTATATATGTTTTTAAAACAATTTTTTACCAATGTTTTAATTAATTTTCGTGATCATTATAAGTAATAAATAATTTAATAATTATCTACTTTGTATTATATTTACAAAAATAAAAAAATTTGATGTTATTATTTTCTATGTACTCTTTTCTACAGCGAACATATCTGGTTTAACTTTAATATTATGTCTCTCAAAGTAGCTGCTAAAGTTTGAGCCAGTTTGAGGTATTTAAAGTGAAAATCGACATTATTTGAAAACATCTACAAGTTTCCAAATATTTGTCATTTTATATTACCATGCATTTACAAATATTAATACTTCCAAATTAAAAGTTTGTAAATTAACAGTAAATAAATAAAAAAAAGTTATGTTGAATATTAATTCTTTTACAAAATACATATGTATAACTAAAAATTGTATAGTTATACAGATAAAAAATTAAGTAAGAGTAAACAAAGAAGTGCAATTAGGATGTAACTTGAAAATTTAACTTTTGAATACTATACGATACAGTTATAAACAATATATTTTATTTCTTAAATCGAGATTATTCAAAATATAAATATACAAGTGTTAACCAATCAACACTGACGGATGTACCGCTAATCGATAGAGTGTTCTGCCTGTTTCCGCTTTGAGACAAGCGTGGCTCTTTTCGTGTGTAACCTCAATCATGGCGGTGGGTAAAAATAAGGGACTTTCAAAAGGTGGTAAAAAGGGTGTGAAAAAGAAGATGTAAGTAAATTATAATATCTATTTATTGTATTTTAAATACTTTTTATATAAAAAATATAATTTTTTGTTTGATATTTTTTAAGATGCTTAATATTAAAGTAGATTCTGTGCAGATGACATTCGAATGTTCATTTGTATCGCACGTTTAACATCTCACCCTATCAATATTCCTGTAAAAAATAATTAAAGAATATCATATATTTCTTGCTTTTATATAGGTATTTTGTTAATATGGTCTGTATGATTCTTTGTTTATGATTTTTATATTTTATTAAATATTCTTAAAATATTAAGTATTTTTCTTTGCTATCCATATTATCAACATTTATTTGATTTGTTCAGAAATTATATAATTTAAACGTGAATTTCTACTTATAAAATATCATGATTTTATTGAAATATAAATTGTATGCTGAGATTGTCATGTTTAACCTCAAAGTGTAATGTAAGTGCTTCAATCCTAACCTAATTTTCTTTGGTTACAGCGTTGATCCATTCACTCGTAAAGACTGGTATGATGTTAAGGCACCGTCTATGTTTACCAACCGTCATGTTGGCAAGACATTGGTCAATAGGACCCAAGGAACAAGTAAGACATTTTAAAATTATTTAAAACATATTTGCACTTCTAGTTCTATAGGAGCATTATTGTGAAGTATAGAGATATATTCAGTGCCAAATAGAATTTTGTTTCTAAATATTATTCTTTTATTTTATAGAAATTGCTTCTGAAGGTCTGAAGTACAGAGTATTTGAAGTGTCCTTGGCTGATTTGCAAAATGATGGAGATGCAGAGAGATCTTTCCGTAAATTCAGGTTGATTGCAGAAGATGTTCAACACCGCAATGTATTGACCAACTTTCATGGAATGGATTTGACTACAGACAAATTGAGATCCATGGTTAAGAAATGGCAGACATTAATAGAAGCCAATGTTGATGTAAAAACCACTGATGGTTATCTCCTTAGAGTTTTCTGCATTGGTTTCACCAATAAGGACCAATTGAGTACCAGAAAAACATGTTATGCCCAACATGCACAGGTTAGTAGTTGCATAATTTAATTCAATTTTTCATTTTTTATGGTTGCAATTCAAAGTTCATGAAAGTTGTAAGAGAGCTTTTGTGATTCATGAGATTGCATATAGTAATAGGCACTCGCTTACCACATTATTTTTGGTAAAAGAAATAATGATATTTGATGTTGCAACAATTATAATAGAATTCACGATAATCATACAATATTATATGCACATAAAGTTACATATATCTTGGTATGTTTTTGTGTTTAGGTTAAGAAAATCAGACAGAAAATGGTAGACACAATTACGAACGACGTCACCAAGAGCGACTTGAAGGGTGTAGTCAGCAAGCTTTTGCCAGATGCTACTGCTAAAGATATTGAGAAAGCCTCTCAAGGAATTTACCCACTCCATGATGTCTACATTCGTAAAGTACGTATCTTTGAGTACACTGTAATTTACTCTTAAGTGTCCTAATAATAGTCGTAATGGTCAAATGTAAATGATGTATATATATTATAGGTTAAAGTATTGAAGAAACCACGATTTGAATTGAGTAAGTTATTGGAGCTCCACGGTGACGGTTCAGGTAGCAAGAGCGAAGAAGTGGGTGAAACTGGCTCCAAAGTCGATAGACCAGAAGGTTATGAACCACCTGTACAGGAATCCGTTTAAGGGAGTAAAATTCTCTTTAATTATTTGATATAAATAAAAGCCACGTTCCAGTGCAGATATTGCTTTCAATTTTATTTTCTCTACCCCGATATATATTCTGTAATTATAAAGGAACATAGAAATAATTTAACAAAATTTGATTTTGGTTGTAAATATTTATTATTGAAAAAATAGTCTTTTATAGTACAATATTTAATTTGTTCAAATAAGCTAATATAGAAAGAAATCGTAGTTTATTTGGTCATCTTACGGTGCAAAGGTACTAAAAATACTGTAAAGTAATATGTGATTAGCGCAAAAGCGTCCGTTTAGCATATGACCAACTTCCTATTAACAGCGCTCTAAAGCATTCGCTCCAGGATGCCAGTACATAGATCAACAGTATGAAGAAAACTATTTTTGTAATCACATCAACCCAGTACATCCTAAGATTACAAAAACAAAAATAATTTTTACATTAAAAGTTTGAAATAAGAAGGATTATTAGAAAATAATTACACAAATATAGCTTACAATTTCAAATGTCTTCGAGCAGCTGGCAAAGTTTCAGGTGGTTCATTTAGAATATAAATTCTTGCTGCTCGTATGCATGTTTCAAAATACGCATCTATGTCCATATCTTCACCGTGTATTTGATACTTCTTATACTCTATGGGATTTAGTTTTTCTCGTATTTCGTATATATTTTTATTTTCGAAATCCCATTGATTGTTAGCATAATATTCGAATACTTCGAAACCTTTTTGTATTCGACGTTGTACACGACACATTCTATGCGAAATCATTTTTTACAATCGTCTAATTACTTTGATTTAGAAGTAACTTACTACAGATTGAATCCATTATACGTATACTTACATTGGTTTATAACCTGCAAGGAAAATAAGCGCATCTATGAGGTAGGCTGGTATCGTGTGGAATAAAAACACACATATATTATGTATCAGTCTTGATTTCTTCATGCTTCCACCTGGATACCAAACAACTCCATTTAAAGGCACTTTTTCTGTGATTTTTCGCCCACGTGCGATAATTTCTGCCCAGGATACCTAAAAGTATCTATGTTACAGTGATTGTTCTTGATAAACAGGGCAATATATTTATGTTTTTAAAACTAGTTATTCACTTTGAACTCGCTGCTACTTGTAAGATTGTAAACTCTCTTTTCATGATCTTTGAGGTAGATGAAATTCCAAGAACTGGCGAGAATTACATTCACTGCAATATCAACAGGTAGATAATCTGCATAACCATTTTCGTTGCAGTACATTGTTCGTATAACACCTTTTCCAGCTGCTATTAACAGTCCTGTAGGACCATTGATGTTATCTGTCCACCCAGGTATAGGTTCTTTCCATACAGGTATGACTATACTAGGTCTACAGTTGGAAAGTTCTTTGAGATAAGAGCATATCAATTACTTTATACAAATGTTAACAAGTTCTCTACCTTAGTATGATTGCTGGAATTTGTGACATTGCTTCATTAACAAGACCTTCTGACAAGGCTTTGGTAAAGGCATACGTATTGGGAAGATCTCCTAAAATTTTGTCTGTCATAGCTTCAACGACCTCGTCATCCATCCATTCAACACACTTGATTATTTTATGAGGATCTGCAGGTGGAGGATATGGTTTTTCTCCTAAGATCTAAACATGATTGTACGCTTAATATAGAATGCATAAAATAAAAAAATATTAAAATTCTGTCTTCGATTCTTAATAGTTACTAATTACAGTAGAAACTATACTTTTTCTTCGAGATGACAGTAAGCTGTACTGATATGAGCAAATAACTTCAAGTGTTTCATCTCTTTTGCTAATTCTAACATTTGCTTTGTGCCACGTGTGTTCAATAAAACTGCCTTCTTCAGTAGCTCGTCAAATCTGAAAAAGGAAGGATTAGTAACGAAATCAATCCATTTAATAATCTTTAATAAAAGTTTCTCGTTTAGTTTATCCCACGTTACCGTACTGTGGCGGCTCCATGGTACACGATGTTAATCTTCTCACAAAGCATTCGTCTATCCTCTGGGCTTAGTCCAAGTCCTGGCAACGATACATCTCCGTTTACGACAGTTACTGCTTTGTGAAGTTCTTCCATACCTCTTTTCTGTTTGACTTGCTCGAAAAGCTGAAAATATCGATTCCTAAATCATATTAGTTAAAAATTACTTGTTGAATTTGAGAGGAAGTTAATTACATAATCATTGTGTAGTGTTAGATTCTTTTTTTATCATACTCTTTGAGTTCTTTACATTATGTTACGTCACGTTATACACAGGGGAGGCTTCCCTAAGGAAGATGAATAGAAGAAAGCGACCCTACCATTCAATACATATAGTACTCTACAGTTATGACGCATTGTATACATCCAAATCTAATTTGAAAACTTAAAAACGTAGAAATTTTAAACATTTACAAATTTCGGCAATCTAAATATCCTCCATGTGGCGAGTTCCCCTAGACAGTATACAATGAAATTATAATATAATGAATTAACATACGAATAAACTTATTTTCTCGCCTTTCTTAAATATTTAATATTATTTTTAAATCAATATAAATCACTGTTTGAACTGAATGCGTGGACAAACTTGTTCTCAGGTATTTCTTAAGCATTTAACAGATGCTACGTTTATATGGGCGTAAACCAATGTTGAAACGTATGCATTAAAAGGTGAAAGTTTGATGCTTTTTTTGTATTTTGATATATTTTTATGTTTAGTGATAAAATTATGATTTAACTTTTGATCTTAATTCGAAGCTTTTTGTATACACATTCCTTATAATTTTTGTGCTAAATTTTTACACATTTTTCTCATTTTCAAAATGCCAATTCTTTTACACAACTTTATCATTTAAAAACGAATCGTATTCGATTAAAAAAAGAAAACCGCCAAATTTTGATTATATAATATAGTTAGTCTAAACCGTCATTTCGTTAGAAAATAAAAGTGGACAGTTGATTTAATGCAAGAGCAAATTCTTCTGTCAACGTTACATCAGTTGTGCGTGCGTGTTAGTGTGTTACAACGGGATCCAACAGCCACCGGCTCGAAAGATGTGACATAACACATCGTCACAAGAACTTTCACCATGTATAAGGTTTGATAATAATAACATTGGACGTTATGTCTATATAGGAGGCCTTGACTTCGTTTCTCACACTTTTATTCCGTAAAATAATCACGAAACTAAATAGTGCATTTTGATTGTAAAACATGAATCATTCTTCCACGAAGTATCTCCTTTGGAAGAATACGGGAAGAAGTTAGGAGGAATCTAAGAAGAGTCTCCTGGAAAATTAGGGAATTCAGGAGAACTTAGGACTTTGTTACGTAGAACTTATCAGATATTTGGGACTTAAAAACTTTGCAATTTTTTAATTGGAACTCTGAAATTTTGAGATAGATGGATCGTTACCGAGAAGGACTAGCAAACGGGTAACTCTGTGAGTTAGCATTCTACCATTTTCTTCTCAGATGTCTACGGGTATCGAGTGTGGTCGATGATCCAGGAATATAAGTATCTAGGGATACAGAGATCTTACAATTTAGGAATATACACGTAACATATGTTTCCTAATAACTAGATTCTTCATATTATGTAGCTTTTACCTAAGTGTCCTTTTTAATATTTCGTAAAAAGTACGACTTTATGTAATACTTTGTTCTTTAGAATTAGGCCAGGCAGAATTCCCGTGACCAGAATGTGGGATTTCGACCAAGAAACCCGTTTGCGTACGTACAAGTGGTTCTATTACTTTTTCTTCATACTTATGTAATACCGTCTGTACGCTTAGTTCAAAGCAAATTGTCTGTTTATAACAGTATTGGACATCGTAAAAAATTGTAGTAAAGTTACATGTAAACACGTTGTTTTACTTGAAGAGTTATTTGGAAGGTCTTTTTGGTACTTACCGGAGAATTGAAAATTTCTTCTATACGATGCTTTGGATCCTTGTTCTTTTTTGATCTGACCAACAGGTAAAGTTGCTGCGTGACCGGTATACATCTGAGAAATTTCTCGACAATGACTTTTCCTAAGAAACCAGTGCCACCGGTAATTAGAATGTTCTGATCTTTGAAGGTTTCCAGTATTCTATCAGGAATCTCCTCCACTTTCGATTCAGCCATGTTTCTTTTATTTTATGCTCTATAATCGGTAAACGAAAAAATTATTTAAAAATTGCAATTTTCAGGTGTTAGACAATAATAAGCTTAAGAAGGTAAAGATAGCTTTCTATCATATTCAGTGAATAAGCCAATTATTTAAATGAACTGCTTCTATAAATGTCAAATCGGAAATAGCATTGCGATTGGGACGGAAGTTGCAGCAGTGTTCATGAATATTTCGAAAGAACCCTCGCGAATGACAGTAATCTTTCCTATTAAAGACTTGTCGAATAAATATGCATACAATATGTCGTGCTGAATAATTTTTCGTTTATTCATTTCGAACGGAAAAATAACGAGTGACTTAAGTCCGCCATTTTCCTAGAGCAGCAGAATTGACGCAACGTATAATTAACAAATTGTAGTTACAAGTACAATGTACCGCACCGTATACTTTACTTAAATACCTTGGGACGTAAACTGCGCAAAATTATTAGAAACTATTTGGGGTAATTACAGTTTTAGCAAATAACATTTGAACAATTATAGATTTTGAAATTTAAATTAAAGACTTGTAAAAGCACGATGTACGAAATCGACTAATCAGATGTCAGTATTTTTTGACCATTCATAATCGAGGATTTCAACTTATCGTGTCCTACAATTGGTTCGGAAAAATTGATCTGACCAATCTTGACGCCTAACGGATAACCGGGTCACGTGATCGGCTCTACGAAACAAAAGACGCGAAGAGGTCGAACAGTTTGAATTTGAGTGTCGTGGGAGTATGTTGAGACAATGAGTGTAGTAAATAACGCGAGTGAAAAAGTTATCTGTGTCGTAATTACAGTGAAATTTGATTGTGTTGATACGCCTGGATGATCATAATTATGCAGTCGCGACAATCTGCAGATCCAGCTCTGTTTACTTTCATGACAGCAAAGCTCGATGTTTACGAAATGTGAGACATCATAGCACGGTATGTACGTTCTATTGTTTGGGCATGCTTTATGTAGTTCGAAGTAATATATAGTTTCGAAAATATTCAACAAACGTACACATAATAATATTATGCTACACGAATCTTGGCAAGTCACGTATCTGTCGCTTTTATTCGTATAGAATGAATCAGCATACGAAATAGGTTAGTCGTTTACGTTTAACGAGGATCAACATAAAATGTTCTTCGCGCCAAAACCACATATCTGTTAGATACATTTTAAATGGCGGTTCTCAATTCGATGCTTATCTGCGTGACACTTTTCAAATTGATTTGTAAGTTATCTCAAGTGTGCAGATTTAAGAAGATAAATGATTAAATTTCAATGAATTGAAATACTTTTGATTTTCTGAAAGCTTGTGTACTTTTCCGTGAATTATTTTTCGAAATGAATTTGATTACTTCGAACTCAATTGCGTTGATCTTGTCAACTAACGTACATAACGCGAATATGGGATTTCATATAGTAAAATTTTAAGTATGGAATTCCATACGCAACAGAATCTCTTCTGAGAAATTTCACCGATACCGAAAACGCAAATATTTAGAACTCCGTGCGTAACTTCATACATAAAGTCCCGAACTTCACGCAACAAAATTCTAAAAGCGAAATTTCGTTTTAGCAAAGTTTCAAGTGTGGAATTTCACGCATAAAAATTTTGAAGCGTGAAATTCCACACACAAAAAAATCTAAAGTGTAGAATTCAACATTTGAAACTCGATTATGCGTGAAATTTCATGCTGGGGATTTCCCTGTCTGTAGAATTCCGCGTCTGGGGTTTTTTGTTGATAAAAATCCATAAATTGGTTTTTGCTGCATACTGAACCCGGCATGTGCAACATAGTAGCAAATCATATATGTACATAATAATACATATATTACAGTTTATCATAATTTAAAATAATTTTTTATATCTTAAAAAAAAACGAAATATGTATAAAGTATAAGATATATATATTTAATCACTGTTGTGTCGAGTCAACCGTCGAAGCCAAGGGCAAGTAGAGGTTTTTCAGTTATCGTGTCAATTTAATGCACCTTCTCGCTGTTTTCTAATTTATGCAGTATTCGTCCGCGGTCTACCACTCGATCATCAATTATATAAATATGAATCAGACGAGTAGATTGCGTTAATATTAACTGTCCGTATTAATATTAATTTAATCTATTTTTAAAATTCATTTGAATAAGCAATATTAAATTTGTATTTCAATTCAAGTAATTATACTTGTTATTATACTTGTTATTATAGTTATTATCCCCACTTCATGTTCATTTTACTTAACGTATACATATTTATGCCCGATTTACATTCAAGCATAGAAATGCTACTCATTCCGTTTGACACGTTAATATTTAATACCAATAACCTCAACGAGTTAATTATATAATTTTCTTTCTCTTTAAGCAACAAATGTAACGACTTTTACACAATGAAATCTGCATAGAAAAAACAATATTCTACTTATGCAAATATTTCTAGAATGTTGCAATGGACTTTACGGTGATGCGAAGACGTAATATCGCATAGATAAAGAAACGGGAACGACAGAAATACAAGTTGACCAGTTTGAAAAGATTTTTGCAACGATTATGTTAATAAATAAGCAGGTTCACCCAGTAGATGACGCACCCATTAAAATTTTGTTTTTTAATTACAGCTGAATGTTTGTTATATAACTATTAGAATGTAGTACCAATTAAAAAAAAATTGTATAAAATACAAGTAGTAATTACACACGTGTAATGCGTGTTGCAACATTCTAGTGAATATTAATAATTTATAGCGTTCAAATTTTATATTTCCATTACTGAAGTAGAAGAGTATTCGGTATTCTATATTCTTAATATTTCGAAATTTATTTATCCAAAAAGTAGTCAACGTTGTTTATCCTGAAAGTGATCAAGTTTATATAACCAAACAACAACGTAAAGAAGTATAAAGAAAAAAACTAACATAATGTTATTCTGAATAATTAAACCAGATATATTAGTATTGCAGAAAGTTACCGTGTTTTCATCGTGACACTTAATGTATTAATAATAAATTATTTATGCAAAATGTCGTATTTAGTCAGAGGTGTTATCATTTGTCATCATCGAAGTTAAACGTTAGAAATTAAACGTTGTACTGCGGTTGTAAAGTCACGCCATGCACGAGTTGAATCATTCTATTACATATCGTAAAATTCTTGTTTACTCTTACGTTTTCGTATTGCTTCATTTAGAAAGCTTGTTACTCTGAATGATTTAAACTACACACAAAATAGAAATTTTTGTTAAAACACAAACTAATTTTTTTTAATTTACAATCATTGCAAGATTCTTGTTATCGCATGGCGCGTTTCCACCATTAATCAGTTGGTGCCTCTACAAATCACCTTGCAAATCGCTATTCTAAACGTAACGTGTGCTATATACATAAAGGTCAATATTATATACATGTAGTAGAACCTCGTTATATCGCTACAATTTAGGTCGTTAACCACCGTCTCTAAATTTGGTAAGATAGTAATTTGGAAACTTAGAAACTCGAAAATTTTGGAAATCTCAGAACCTAGGGATTTCTAGGAATATAAGAATCTGAGGGATCTAGGGATTTTTCAACAGTTTTAAAGTCGTCAATTTAAGAAATTGGATATTTGGGGTCTGGAAATTTGTCATTTTTGAAATTTGGAGAATCTAGGGAATTTAGGAGATTTATAGGTTTTTGGTAATATTAAAATTTATGAATTGAGGAGTTTTGAAATTTAGAAATTTGGGAACTCGAAGATTTGGTTATTAACCTTCTAGGAATTTTGGGGGAAATTTCAGATTTCGTAAATTTACAATTTTTGGAAGTATAGGGATTTTTAGGAAATTAAGAAATCCCCAAATTAGGAATTTTGGTGACTACAAAATTTGGGGACTTGGGAATACGAAAATTTTGATATTTAAAACTTTCAGAAGTTGAAATTTTGAAAATTTCAAAACCAGATAATTCGAGACATTCAAACATTCAAGAAGATAAAAAATTTGTAGCACGAAGAACATTATGTATCTAATCATGCAGTCTGTCACGCACGCAATAAATTGTAGTCTATTATACAACATTGTCTCTTTTTACATCGCCGCGCCATTCATTAGAGATTTTAAACGCGTCCGAGTACTCTCATCTTAGAATCTGTCATCCGCCATGTAGTAAAAAGTTTTAGCGTTGAATAATGCTTACGTCAATTGTTTTTCCTTTTTTTTCTTGAAATTGATGAGTTAATCGTATACGTTCTGAATAATTTATTCTACTTTTACTACTTACAACCGATTTAATTTACATATTTTTTAGACATTGTATTAGGCATAAATATTCATTGGTTAATCTTGTAATGTTATGACAATATATACCCTAAGCAGGTAGTTGGAAGTCTTATTTTATTCTATAAAATTTACCAGCTTTCTACTTACTGAACTTAACCCACGTTTCACCTATATTTTACGCATTTCAACGTTCCAACGAACGCATAATCGTCCTTAGCGTATTAACTACGACGCGCTCAGAAAATTCTGGCGAAGAAAATAAGACGTTCCTTTTAATATTTCAGTTGCTCGTTAATCAGATTATGTATATTTAATAAGACTCATATTTTAAGGAGTATTAATTTTTCTTATTCAGTTATGACGAATAAAGGTATGCTCAACAGGAAAAATGATATATGTTAAATTTACATTTTTTCAATCAGTAAAATTCAAACGGTAAAAGGTTTACGTTAGTTTATGCTTCATTCGAGAGAAATTGTAAGAGCAAAATATCTCGGAAGAACGTTATAATAAAAAATGTAAGAAAAAGTAGACACAATATTAAGGATAAGGACTGTGATTATCGATGTCGTTTATTAACTGTAATAAGTATCAATGCATCGATAAGATGCGTAACTATCGGTTACGTTGGAATGTCGATAATTCGATACATTAATAATATTATTATGTTAAGAGGCGATTTTAAATAGTATTTAATTTCTATATTCCAAAATAAAAATTCTTCAATTTTTGGATTTAATAATTTCAGGAATTTCGAAATTTTCAAATTCCAAACTTTCTTAAAAATCCGAATTTTTAAATTCGAAAACTTCATTTCTTTTAAATTCCCAAAATTCTAAATCTCACATCCACAATTTCCTAAAAAATCCCTAACTCGCCATATTTTCGATATATCGTTATGACCAACGAGTCGACTACGACAATCGATAGTCACATTTTAAAAATCTGTGAACGCCGCGAGCAGCCTTCGTGACAGATTCGAAACGTTTCAAATTCTATGATAAATCTCGCAGCCGGTGTTAAAACGCAGAAAGTAAATCGCTGTTAAATCGAAGACTTACGGAACGAGCGAGAATTCCTCGGTCCTGGCTTTATCCGAAATGCGAGCACAAACCGAGCGGATTGAACCGAACGAAACGAAAGCACGATCGACAGTAAGAGTGATCGTAAAGAGCCGATCGGTGGTGTTACTCGGATGGTGAGACCGGTGCAGACTGAGAAAGCATAACGCTGGCCCAATATTTTCCTGGACGCCTCATCGTCGTTCGATGCAGGGCCGTATTCACTTTCGTTTGTCCGTATCCCTCTCTACCGCCATTCGCGTCACCGTACAAACTTGTTTTATTTTGTATCGCGCAATTTATTTAATCCCCGTTTCTCTTATAACGCGTTCCAACTTCCAAGAACAATTTTCATTAATCAACGACCAATTAAACGGTCATATTGATAAGAAACGCGTATCAAACGTAGTACAAATTCATGTTGAATGTACTGCGATATATCAATTAACATTTATCGTTTACACCATCTGAATTTTGTGTAGGAAGTTATGTCCTTGAACCGTAGAATATGTGTTCCGAATTTCACTTTGCTTTCTTAATTGCTTAACACCTTCGGTCCAATTCAATATTATTTTTATCTTTGCATTCGTAATGTGGGTAATGTTCATATTTCGGTACTTGGTAGTTTTAGTATGTTTGAAGTTTCGATGATTATGGTAGCTGATACTTTAGGGATTTAGTGAGTATTTTATATTGAGTACTAGGGGTTCGATACTTTTTATATGCAATACTATTGGTATCATATATTTTTTGTACTCAATGGGGTGTTCGATGATTTAGAAATTTGGCATCGAGTATTTGGTACTGAAAGTACAGTACATTTATGATGTTCTATGTTTAGTTCTTTTTAGCTCACTAGTTTTATATAATAGTTCGATTAAGCTTATTATGCAGTGATCTTATCAAACGAAAGGGCCAGTTACGCTCTTCTGCATAATTGCTTTCATGTAGTACTATTCACGTCCAATAACTTGACGAATCAATAGAAACCGCATTGCATTTATCTTTCAATTTGCTATAGCACTCACAGTGTATTTTTTAAACATTCGACTTGGGTGTCAATAGTGAAATTTTTAAATTTTTGAACACACCAGTCAATATAATATAAAAATAGTAATGATGCCAATACAGAAAGAGCAGTTAAGAGTACTCCCACAGAATGCGTTACGTGACGTGATGCTTGAATAAACAGAAAACTCAATCATTCGTAAAATAACGTCTAAACAGAAGATTGCCAAAACTTACTAGCCCTTCGGTCGATTATATAACCTGACACAACTTCTTTCGTAGAATAAAGAAAGTTCTTTACTTGAAAGAAAGCTATTTCCATCTGTGTGTTTCACCAATTGCTCAATCTGCGATTAACGACGCACTGGTAGCGAAGTGGTCTTACGTCCCTAGAGAAACTGATTGTGCGGGAGAAGAAGGAACTTCATCCCAGATGGATTCGGAGATTTTACGGATTTGGAGATTTGGGGATTTAGGGATTTGGAGATTTGGAAATAGGGAAATTGGGAGATTGGGAAATAGGGAGATTTGGAGATTTGGAGATTGGGAGATTTGGGGATTTAGGGATTTAGGGATTTAGGGATTTAGGGATTTGGAGATTGGGAAATTGGAAGATTGGGAGATTGGGAGATTGGGAAATTTGGAGATTTGGAGATTTGAAAATTTGAAGATTTGGGGATTTAGGGATTTGGAGATTGGAAGATTGGGAAATTTGGAGATTTGGAGATTTGGAGATTGGGGGGTTTGGAGATTTGGAGATTTGGGGATTTGGGGATTTAGGCATTTGGAGATTGCGAAATTGGGAGATTGGGAAATTTGGAGATTTGGAGATTGGGAAATTGGGAGATTGGAAGATTGGGAGATTGGAAGATTGGGAGATTGGGAAATAGGGAGATTTGGAGATTTGGAGATTGGGAGATTTGGGGATTTAGGGATTTAGGGATTTAGGGATTTAGGGATTTGGAGATTGGGAAATTGGAAGATTGGGAGATTGGGAGATTGGGAGATTGGGAGATTGGGAGATTGGGAGATTGGGAGATTGGGAGATTGGGAGATTGGGAGATTGGGAGATTGGGAGATTGGGAGATTGGGAGATTGGGAGATTGGGAGATTGGGAAATTTGGAGATTTGGAGATTTGAAAATTTGGAGATTTGGAGATTTGGAGATTGGGAGATTGAGAGATTTGGACATTGGGAGATTGAGAGATTTGGAGGATTGGGAGATTGAGAGATTTGGAGGATTGGGAGATTGAGAGATTTGGAGGATTGGGAGATTTGGACATTGGGAGATTGGAAGATTTGGAGGATTGGCAGATTTGGAGATTTACAAATTTGAAGATTTGGTGATTCGGTAATTCAAAAAATTACAGATCTGGTGGTTTGGAAATTTCTACATTCTCACATTTGAAAATTGCAGAACTTTTGAGATTCAAAGGATTTGATCTCCAGAAATTCAGTGATTTTTGTGCCTTTGAAGATTCGGTGAAAGTAAGTAAAAGGAATAGCACTGTAATTAATTGAACACTACGGTTATTTTCTCTACAGTTGAATGAGACGTACCGAGTCTTGCATTTTACAATGAATTGCACTTTAAGACTCATTATTTTTCGTACAATATCACTGACGTAATATACTTTCGTTTTTCAATTCTGTCGTCCGAAAACACAAGATGGGCTCTTCTTTTCTTGAAACTCGATAGAAAAAAGTGTCTCATGCTTTCGCTGAGTCAGTTTGAAATAAGATTCCCCTCGATGACAGGAATGTTTCGAAATTAACCGATGACAAGAACGTCGGGAACAAGAATTTTATTGGTAGCAGAAATTACAAAAAACATTGAAGCATAAATTTCATTGTTTTCGTCTCTTAACCGAATTGCATTAATATTCCCCTCGTGAAGTATGGTTTCACGTTCATTTTAACCTTTTAGAAATTACGCAACACAATTATAGTCTACAGATCATTTGGCGAGATTGACTTCTGTGGAAAATACAAAGTATTATACTTTCTTGTGTTTACATATTCTCTAAAGGTACTAGTGTAATGAACAAATTTATTATTTTAGAACTTACGTTTATGAAATTGAATTATACAAAAATTCCAAATTCGTAGATTTTTGAGGTCTTATAGGTTCAAAGTTGCAGATTTCCAAATTCCTAAATCCTCAAATCACTAAATCCCCAGATCTTTAAATCTCGAAATTCCTAAATACCGCCAAACCTCCAAAACACGAAAGTTGCAGGATTCTAAATATATCTCCAGACACCTAAATCTGAAAATATGCAAGTTGTCAAAGCTGCCATTTATAAACATGAAAAATATCCAACTTTCGAATTACCAGAGTAAAATATGTAGAAATGAAAGGATCGGAATTCCCTATGAGACAAACCGTAGACTAATATGAACAATCACGTGTTGTCCCATACTTGCATGCTACGTAAAGAACACGTAATATGGAATGTCGAAATCCATATTTTTTTTCTTTACTCGTGAACACGCGTGTTCCTCCATTCTTTCTCCTACCACTTTCGTTTTCACTCTCACTTTTTCGCTCTCACTCTCTGACCCTCGTACTACGTATTATTTTCCTTTAGATACTCTTTTGTTAGCGCAAAAAGTGTTGTCATTGACACTGAGCAACGAGCGTCCACTTTATCGGGATTAGAATTTGAAATATGCACTACTATAGGGTGTCCCATATGTATACGCTCTGCTAATTTAAAAATGAAACATAAAAGTGGTAAACGTTAAATACTAGTCACATTGATTGTTATTTCGGTCATTTGTTATTTTAACACTAAAACTACCAAGCCGGTCAAATGACCGCTCCACAAGTTTCTTATTAAAAGGTATACATTTTGTTGAAGTACATTTCTTGAAATCAGAATTGATTTTCATCAAGATAAAGAATAAATGTGTGTACTAATTTATGTTTCATCGTTTGTTTATTTAATTTTTAACTTCATTTTTAATTTCAAATTAAGTACGTGTTGTATGCCGGTAGGTTTAGTGTTAAGATAAACTAATATAAAGTTCAATTTTAGCTTCCAAATTAATGAATGGTAAATAATAATGAAATATGCATCTAAATTTTAATGTTGACATTGATTCTTTGTCTTCTACTTGTTCATTTTACTCTTGGAGATTCTTGTTGTATTAACAATTATTTTTTACATAACTGATATATCTACATTTTTGATTTTTATGAAAGTGAAAATCACATATTCATTTTTATACTTTGCTTAGTTAGTTATTACAAGTTTTTGCAAAAAATGTTTGTAAAATATTAGCATTACAAATAATTGCGTATATTTATTAACTTATATTAGTAATTTTCTTCCTTAAAATTATTTGACGACTAACAATTAATGGCTAAGAAATAACATTGCAACTAAAAATATCGTAACAAAAGAAACTGTTTCGAAAACGATGAAATCACATTTGTATCCTAACGGAAGTTTAAAAGTTAAATAAAAATCTATTTAAAAACTTTTTATTGCTGAGATTCGGTCAAAAAAGACATTAACAATTGACAAAGTATAAGTATGTTTAACAAAACTCTTTTCATAGTTTCTTACGTTGCATCGAGCGTATTTAAACACGGGTAATGTTAGAATACAAAATTTCGCGGAAGAGATTATGCGAACTTATGTACACGAACGAAAAAAAGACATAAGAGGATTTCGACATTTTTAAATGTCACCACAGGGAGGCGGTTTGTCAATTAGACTTGCTAGCTGAATGTATATTTTCATTCCGGTGTACTGCGTTTCTTTTCTGCGTTTAGGCTTATTGAAGCCGTCAAAAGAATTAATCATATAACGACGCAGTCTTGTAAATAATAAAGTTAGCGTGTTGTTAACACTCTGAGAGAAAGCGGAAAGGTGGCTACTGAAATGGTTAAATTGTTCAACAGCGGAATTTGGGGTTTTTTAGGTTTCGAGATTTGGGGAGTTTTAGGGATTGAGGAATTTTGGGATTAGGGAATTTGGAGATTTGGAATTTTGGCAATTTGAGAGTTTGGGAGTTTAGGAAATTGGGAAATTGAGAATTTGGGAAATTGGGAATTTGGGAGATTGGAGATTTGGAATTTTGGCAATTTGAGAGTTTGGGAGTTTAGGAAATTGGGAAATTGAGAATTTGGGAATTTAGGAATATGGGAATTTGGGAATTTGGGAATTTGGGAAATTGGAGATTTGGAATTTTGGCAATTTGAGAGTTTGGGAGTTTAGGAAATTGGGAAATTGAGAATTTGGGAAATTGGGAATTTGGGAAATTGAGAATTTGGGAATTTGGGAATATGGGAATTTGAGAATTTGGGAAATAAGGAATTTGGGAGATTAGAGATTTGGAATTTTGGCAATTTGAGAGTTTGGGAGTTTAGGAAATTGGGAAATTGGGAAATTGGGAAATTGGGAATTTGGGAATATTGGGAATTTGTGAATTTGGGAGATTGGAGATTTGGAAAATTGAGGAGTTTAGTAATTTTTGAATCTGCGAATTTATAAATTTGAAAGAATAGAAGATTGTAATTTTAGTCTCCGAAAATTTTGAAATTCCTAAATTTGGATATTTGAATCTGACAGCAGTTGCCTTAGGTGTTCTTCCACTAGTGCTGTAAGAAAGTAATCAAACACTATATAATATTGGCTTAATGATTACACCACTGTATTTAGTTTCTCCATTTCATTAATTTTTTATTTTTCGAGTACGTACAAATTACAAATATATGACGATGATAATGGATCTTAATCCTTCATCATTGTTACAGATTATTAATAGCAAATATTAAGGAAAATATATTACCTCATTGAGGTAAAGTCAACGTTATTTCAAATCAGGCTTGGACAAATTTTATTTAAAACCAAATACGTAAATACGTAATATCGGCTTGTTCGAATCAATAAGGAATTATTGGGAAAAATAAAATTATTCTAAATAATTACAAATTATTTTTAATTATTATTTCCTTGCGAATCAACGTATGTATAACTTCTTTATTTTACAAATTACAAATTAATAATATATAAATTAATTGCATTAACTTGTTTCTCGAAACGGATCAAGTTTCAGGCATTTTTTTCGAGTAAGAATATTCCAGAATAGAATTGCAGATAATCCAGAATATAAATACACATAAAATCACTCTGTATATCCAGTACGTAAATAACAGATCAGCTATATTGCGTGAAAATATAAATAAATTGAAACGCAATCGTATTGTATCTAAACAATATCCAAGCCTGCTTCAAAGATATACCTAAATTTCGTTCACTTCGAACGCTGTCGTAGTGATTATCCTATTCGAATTTATCCACGAATAAGCGAACCAAATGAATAGCGTAATTAGGCCGATCTTAAGGATCCAATCGGCGTAGTAGAGGTATCCCATAACTTTGCGTGCACGAGGCAAAGTCGATGGATCGTCTTTTAAACAATATTTTCTTGTACCTAGAATGTATTGAAGCATATAAGTGTCCCAATTGATCACAGTTGTGTCCATGAAGAACTCTTCTCTGTCGGAGGGGTTCAACTCGAGTTCCAGTGCTTTCATACGATCTTGTCTGAAACGTTAAGAGTAGTAAGAAAATTTGATGAAGTTGGGTTGTGGAGTACACATCTGAGTTGTGGAGTACATATGTGGCTTGTGGAACACGTATGTGAGTTGTGGTGTACATACGTGGGTTGTGAAATACGTATGTGAGTTGTGGAGTACATATATAGGTTGTGAAGTACGTATGTGTGTTGTGGAGTACGTATGTGGGTTGTGGAGTACATATGTGGGATGTGGAATACATATGTGGGTTGTAAAGTACGTATGTGAGCTGTAGAGTACATATGTAGGTTGTGAAGTACGTATGTGGGTTGTGGAGTACATATGTGGGTTGTGAAAGACGTGTGTGGGTTATGGAGCACATACGTAGTTTTTTGGAGTACATATGTGGGATGTAGAATACATATGTGGGTTGTAAAGTACGTATGTGAGTTGTAGAGTACATATGTAGGCTGTAAAGTACGTATGTGGGTTGTGAAAGACGTGTGTGGGTTATGGAGCACATATGTGGGTTGTAAAGTACGTATGTGAGCTGTAGAGTACATATGTAGGTTGTGAAGGACGTATGTGGGATGTGGAGTACATATGTGGGTTGCGAAAGACGTGTGTGGGTTATGGAGCACATACGTAGTTTTTTGGAGTACATATGTGGGATGTAGAATACATATGTGGGTTGTAAAGTACGTATGTGAGTTGTAGAGTACATATGTAGGCTGTAAAGTACGTATGTGGGTTGTGAAAGACGTGTGTGGGTTATGGAGCACATATGTGGGTTGTAAAGTACGTATGTGAGCTGTAGAGTACATATGTAGGTTGTGAAGTACGTATGTGGGTTGTGGAGTACATATGTGGGTTGTGAAAGACGTGTGTGGGTTATGGAGCACATATGTAGTTTTTTGGAGTACATATGTGGGATGTGGAATACATATGTGGGTTGTAAAGTACGTATGTGAGCTGTAGAGTATATATGTTGGTTGTGAAGTACGTATGTGAGTTGTGGAGCAAATATGTGGGTTGCGAGTTCACATGTAACTTGTAAAGTAGACACGTGAGTAATGAAATACATATGTGGATTTTGGAATACATACATGGATTATGAAGTACGTACATCTGTTATGGAGATAACATGACTGATATGTGAGAATATATGAGTATAATATTTGTTGCGAGTATAGTATATTATCATACTAATTACCTAAACACCCATTCTTTAGTGGTATAGTATTTGACTATTTTAACACCATTATTAACTTTATGTTGTATATTCACTAAAAACGGTTTGTTCCCACTTAGAACCATTAAACCGTCGATCAGAAATGCAGGTAGATATTGGAACAAAATTATTCGAATATAGTGATAGACTTTTGACGTTGTCAGACTTCCACCTGGATACCAAAGAATTCCTGAAACACAAACGTTTCAAAGTTTTATTTTCTCAACTTCAAACTTACGAATCTCAAAATTCTTAAATTTGTCAGATTATAAATATTTCAGTCGACTCTTAGCATGTATTTAATTACCTGTGAAGGGATACTCTATCGCGTATTTTTTCCCAACATCCACAGCGAAACGCCACGAGATTGGATTCTCAAGTGCATTAGTAACGTTCATGAATACCGGTTCCGTTGGCTTTTCTCTTCCAATTTTCCACGCGAAAACGATTATCGCGTTTATCGCCATATCACAAGGTATCACATTTAGTACGTAATCTCCATTGCACAGCATACTTCGAAGTACACCTTTGCCGGCACCCACCATTAAACCCGTTGGTCCGTTCACGTTGTCCACCCAACCGGGAGCTGGTTCTTTCCACGATGCGATCACTAATCACAGACAAAATTTATTTGTTAGGATTTAAATAAGTCTCAAATTCTTACGTCTCCAAGTCTACCCTCAGATATACCCCAAGTAGATCCTCATCCCTCTCAAGTTCTTAAGTTATAAATTCTAAATTTTTAGATCTTAAATTTCTACACCTTCAGATTTCTAGATCCCAAATTTCTGGATCTCCAAACCCTTGGATCCCACATTCCTGGATCTTCAAACCTTGGATCTCACATTCTTACATCCCAAATCTCTACACCCCAAACTACATATCCTGCATATCCCTACATCCCCAAGTTCTCAACTCGCTAAATTTTCAAATTCCCAAAATCCCTAAAAATAATATATCTCTACACCTTTGCCATATTCTCCGCAGGAAAGATGTGCTCTTGACTGTACATACGAGCGTCCCTGACGCCAGTAGTGAACGTGTTAATATTTTGTTTACACAAATAGCTTTCTCGGTACACTTCTTTCTCAAATATTACTAGTTGAATTATATTTTTGGTCATCGATGGTCATTACGAATATATTAAGAATTGTTTGGCGAAGTAAAAGTTTTGTTTACCTATCGAGGGCCTAGCTATGCCTGCAGGTAGTCCCGATCTTCGTACCAGGTCTTCGCTTAGCGCCTTGCTTAACGTATAAGTATTCGGTAAACCCTGTAATATCTTCGGTTTCATTTCTTCGAGAGCTTCTTCCGACATGTTCTTTACGTTTTCTATCATGGTTTCGGGACTAATCGGGCTCGGGTAGCCTTTCTCCTCGAGCACCGAATTTTTCAAATGACTGTACGCAGTCGAGATGTGAATGAACGACACTAAATGTGGCAGCTGCGAACAATTGAAATTTGTTTAAGAATTTAATTAACACATGACAGGTTTCGAAAGAAAATTTAATCGTTTCTCAGTACATTACATATTCAGATATTAGAATTTTTAAAAATTTTATTCAATATGCCTTTGATTTTTAAATGACATCGTACATTTTTGACTTAACTAAATTATAATTAATATTATTAATAATTTAGAGAATAATTTACCTGTTTAACGAAGTTCAGAACGTTTATAATCCCCACGGTATTTATATTTACCGCCTCTTTTAGCGTCAGATCGAACTTAACATTTGCTGCCGCATTGAAAACGACTGAAACTTCTCGCAATATTCTTTCCTTATCCGCAGTCGATAAACCAAGGTCCTCGAACATGGTATCGCCAGATACCAATATAATTTTCTTCAATCTTTCAGGACACTTTTCCTTGATCGATTTTAATGGTTCTTGCTGAAAATATGATACATTTTTAATTTACTATTTATTATTTGCATTATGTACTGATTCGATCAATTTGAACGATAGTGATTTCAATTCGATATGATAGTTGTTTTCAATTTTTTATTTTTAAAGTAACCGTTAAATAGACTCCTCTATAATATTTTTAATACAAAAATTTAAATTTAATTTTCGATTTAAATTTGTCGAATTTAAGATTAAAAGTTAGACGTCATTTTTAATATTTAAATTCAGTCACGTGTAATGAAAGATGAAGATATTAACACGTATAATGTGTGGTACATGTGTTACATATGTAAACATCACTTTTTCACAAAATTTTACTCATTCGTCCTAGTATTTTTATGCCAATCAGCCACTTAAGATATTTTTAATTTACTCGGATGAGTAGTATTATAATGCCTAACCGTAATTTTTTTTACACCTTGTATAACGATTCAACCTTGACGAATTCTCCTTGTCCTCACCTTTCGCTGAATCCGCTTATTTCGAAGGCTGCTTCTGGCTCTGTATGAATCAGTTTTAACATCTATTATATGTCCAGATATAGTTATAACATAAACTTGTCCGTTTGCACACATTATATCAAAGTTATGTCTGAGGACTTTTCAATTACTAACTCTTCAAAATCTCTCGTGGAATACGCTCGAGTTCGACGACACACCTTGTGCCTCAGATATTAATCCATAGAAAGCAATTCACGAATCTTACGCGTTTTAGTGAAAAGTTTATATTTGATTGAAATTTTTCACATTTTTACATTTCCCAATTTTCAAATCTTCATTCCATCTCACTAAATTCTTAAATTTTCAAATTTACATTTTTACAAATGACCAAATTATAAAATCCCAAATTCCCAAATTCTTAAAAGCACAAAATCCCGAATTCGCAAATCATCAAATGTTAAAAACCTGAAATTCTCAGAGCCTCAAATTCTCAAGTTTCCAAATTCTCAAAATCCCAAATTCTCAGAACCCCAAATTCCCAAAATCCCAAATTCTCAAATCATCAAATGTTAAAAACATTAAATTCTCAGAGCCCCAAATTCTCAAATTTCCAAATTCACAGAACCCCAAATTCCCAAAATCCCAAATTCTCAAATCATCAAATGTTAAAAACATTAAATTCTCAAAATCCCAAATTCTCAAAATCCCAAATTCTCAAAATCCCAAATTCCCAAAATTCCAAATTCTCAAAATCCCAAATTCTCAGAACCCCAAATTCCCAAAATCCCAAATTCTCAAATCATCAAATGTTAAAAACCTTAAATTCTCAGAGCCCCAAATTCTCAAATTTCCAAATTCTCAGAACCCCAAATTCCCAAAATCCAAAATTCTCAAATCATCAAATGTTAAAAACCTTAAATTCTCAGAGCCTCAAATTCTCAAATTTCTAAATTCTCAAAATCCCAAATTCTCAGAACCCCAAATTCCCAAAATCCCAAATTCTCAAATCATCAAATGTTAAAAACTTCAAATTCTCAAAGCCTCAAATTCCCAAATTTTCAAATCTCCAATTTTGAAACCCACAAATTCTCCCTAAATTCCGAACTCAATTCACCCGAAAACGAAGTACAAGTAAAAGCTGTGGTATAAAATTAAGCAACGCACTTGAGGAAGTTGAAGTATCTGTTCCACCGTAAACAAAAGTGCTAGTTACGTCATTGTTTTCATTACAATTAATCCTCTTGAAGCAATGCATTATTAGTCATGACTATGACATACGAAACAATCGGTGGATGCATATAATGAATAAACCCGATGTACGAGTTCGATTGCATTCGTTATCTTTACAACCCACGTTACGTAATAATGTTTCAACGTTATCTATTTACATTAATAATTCGATAACCAATTCACTTTAAAATGAATAAGAACGAAAGTGAAAGGGACGATTATACTTAAGGTATGTGCTGGTGATCTCGTGTTTAGTTTGTGTGTGCGTGTGCGTTAAAGGAAATCATTAAGAAAGAACGTTGTTCATCGTCAGAAAAATCACCACTGTAGCCCATGTGGAAATCGTTAAATCATGTTTCTTGTAGAGTGAACAAAATTTCCTTTCGGTTTCGACCATCGCTTTCGTTGCCCCGGATGAACAAAAGGAATTGCATGTTCGAGTAAATTATTACCGTTATTTCATAATATCGACTATACAGGTTGTCTTCTAAATCGGTGATATATCCTCGCTACGACAGAGACATCGTAAATCCTTGTCAAGCGATGTGAAGCCAGTATTTTTCGGATTATATACGAGTTAATTACTAACAAATGGGTTAATGACTTTGATGATTAATCTACCTTGATCGTTTTAGTTGAATGGCAGTCTTAATCTTAGAAAGTAGAATAGTAGAAGACAATGAAATAGTAAAATAATAAAATGGTTAAAATAGTAGAAATAGTGAAAGTAAAAATGAAAAGTGATAAGGTCGATAACGTATTAATGTTCGTTTAAATTTTTCGCCCAGGGTCCTATAAACCTTAGAGGCGACTGTGCCCACCGTGACGAAGCATTTTTGATTATCCTTGTCTGACATAATAAATCGCACATCGTAGATCGCAATAGATCGTAACTTGAAATTTCCTCTACTTGACAGGTTCCTGTGGAATTTTTCATAAAAACGGTTAGAATTATCCAAATCTAAATTCGTGGCTATTAACTTTACGACTTTCGAAAAGGACGCACGTTTTAAACTACCAACATCATTAACGATCAGAATCTTGTTTTCTACTTTCATTTGAAGTACAGCCTGTTTCTTAGTCATACACCAGTTTCTTAATACTGACAAATATTTTTGACATTCACATGTCTTATCGATCATTTATGAACTTCACAAACTATTGTTATATTTTTCATTTTTGTTTGATTAATACAGCTTTCGTTAAATTGAACTCAAATGGATGAAAAGCACGGAAAATTAAATTAATTTTTCGAACCCTTTTTCTGGAAATTAGCAACTCTCTAGTAGATTGCTGCGCGTTGTATTATAATGCGTTGCGTTACCAAACGTCGTATATCGTCACGTGACATCTATTGCCGCGAGTGTAACACATTATTCGGCCAAGCGTAGAGCGTTACACATCGTATATAGCCACTCGTGGTATACCGCCACGCGCCATATATAGCCATTCGTGGTATATTGCCATACATCATATATAGCCACTCGTGGTATATTGCCATACATGATATATAGCCACTCGTGGTATATTGCCACACATCATATATAACCACTCATAGTATTTTGCCACGCGTCGTATGTGTATAGCCACTCGTGGTATATTGCCACGCATCGTATATAGCCGCTTGTGGTATATCGCCACGCGCCGTATACAACCACTCGTGGTATATTGCCACACATCATATGTAGCCACTCGTGGTATATTGCCATACATGATATATAGCCACTCGTGGTATATTGCCACACATCGTATATAGCCGCTTGTGGTATATCGCCACGCGCCGTATATAGCCACTCGTGGTATATTGCCACACATCATATACGCGCCTCGTGATATTTTGCCACGCGCCGTATATAGCCACTCGTGGCATATTGTCACGTAACGTACACTACCGTCCATAAGTATCCGGACACAAGCGAAATATGCATTCGCGTTGCATGAAAGTTATTCAAGTATCTGCAACAGTAACTAAAATCGATTTTTTTTTCTGCGAAAGTCAGAATACTGGAACGTTTTTCGATTGATAATTCTCGTTTGGAACTCATATCTCGATGGAAAAGAAGCTACAGACGAACTAAACCGAAACTGTCGAATGCGTAGCGTTACCTCCATTCTTATCTCCATTGAGGGAATATCTCCATTGAGGGAATAAACATCTACCAACAGTTTACAAACACTTGAAACATATCGAAGAACCCTCTGAATACGTTCTGCACCATAGAAATGAAACAGTAGAAATTAAAATTTTTTTTAGAATCGAAAGCGTTTCATTAGATTCACAAATTTGGACTTTGTACTTCTGGACATGAATTTTACTTTCACACTTTCATTGTATAATTTGTACTTAAAAATTAATTCTATTACGTTATGACACCTCAAAAAAGATAATAATAATTATTACAAATGATATGATAACCCTAAATAGCTTTCGTACAAAGTTCAACTATGTTTTATGTAACGAAACCAAGTGTCCGGAAACTTATGGACGGTAGTGTATATCACTACTCGCGATATATCGTCACTCTAATAACGCTTTCCTATAAACAAAATAATTATCGCAACATCTAGTAGAAACATGATGAACAAATCAAATGTATTTCCAACTCCAGTAATAGTCCCACCGGATGTTATACTACTACACTACTACATCGTTAAATTTCGTGATAGATTTTCCCATCTCGGCAAAAAATTTAAAGGATTCACAATACATTTCCGCGTTATCAAATTGCATCAGTTTTTTCTTTGATCTTCACCTGTATCATCTGTTGCAGTCTGCTCTGTGGCTCTAGACCCTTCTTTTTCCTGATTAGCACGAAAATATTCCCAAGGTTGTGGCAGCTCAACAGCAACTTGTAAATCAACATCTTCCCCATAAATCCCGTACCGCCGGTGACGAAAACATTTCGGCCGTGAAACCACTCTGATACTGACGGTATGTCCGATGCCATTTCCGGAAGTGCTATACGACAAAGGAAAGAACGGTTATACACGTGCGTTAAGGAAAGAGAACAAAAAACTCCAATGATCATGACGTTTATGCATAATACCGATTCGAATTTATACGCAGAACAAGATCAGTATGCAACAAAGTTGTTTCGTATCGATAAACGTCTTTTATGCTCACGAAATGAAATCTCACCTGATAATCTTTTTCATTGCTATAGGGGATCCGCGATCAGGGGATTTCCTGAACAAAAAACTGTTTTTACGAATGTTTGAACCTTTCATGACGCATCAAGTACGTCACACAAAGGAATGAATATTCATTAATTAAAAAGAAAGAATTATGAAGATACGAGGAAAACGATTTAAGGATTCTTAACTGGGAAAACGTTTCGCAAACGATTTTATACCGGGATATTTTTTAACATATTTAAAGCGGACAACACTACGTGGGTTTCATCGAAAGACATTCATTGCATTAATCAAGACATTCTCTTTAATTTGAAAGAAGTTGATATTATTTTATTCTTCTATGTTCACTGTTGAATTGAAATTTCGCCAGTCTTTTAATTATCAAGATTTCACTGCGAATCATGACGGGAGAATTTTAGAAAATGTTCACGAAAGTGCGCGCTATTATTATGCACGGAACGACAGAAATACGTGGTACAGCAAATAATTTTTTCGTGTCATTAGCTATTCACCATTTTAATGTATTCCCCGTGTGTAGCGAAAAGTTTCCCGAAATTTTATACGCTGGTTTCCGTGCTTGGAATATTCTTGGGAATAATCAGCGAATCTATTTGATGTGCACTTACACTTTATTCTTGAATCTGAATAATAGCTCACGGTACAATGTCGTAATCACAATTTGATTTTTATCGTTTAACTTCGGAGAAGACATTTACTATTTATACGTTTTCACGTCGAAATTTGTATTTGCAACAACTTGACATAGTGTCGTTGATTATATCTGATTCGTTGCATTAGTAGATTCCACTTGTCTGATAGAAAAATATACTATTTCTCAATCAGCATCAGTCAAGTAATTATAGAAAAATGTAAGGTGACTAATGACTTAAATTGTAAACAAAATTCCAAGTTCGAGCAATTAATGTAATATCGAAGTGTTAGAATGTTTAATTACATGGGGTATTTTCGTTACAAAGAATTTAAACTGAAAAATTTGAATTTTAAAAATATTCGAAAAAATAATTCGATCTTACAGACATTAGTTCTATACGAACAACTAATGTTACAGGGAACGTTGCACTCAAGTGTATTTGTTTGCAGAACAAGCATCAAGTGACATAACAAAATTTTTCCCTCGACTTTGTCGTCGATTCGTGTATTGCATTGATTTCCGGCTTTTTCATTATTGTTGTGCAACTAATGATACAAGTTTACCTTGTTCATAATTAGTAAACGTCATGTGCAATCGTGGTAAATTTCTTTTGCGTTACGTACATACGTTAATAATGCGTATATTATCAATATTAAATGCACATGTGAAATGTGAATTTTGAAACAGTCTTACGCCTTCATATAATTCAAACAAGTTCTTAATACAATTACATACCATTATAATTTAGATAGGTTTTTAATAATCATTAAAGAATTATCCTATTGTTCATGTAAATGCATTATATATTTAGTAACAAATTTTTTCCTTCATACATTTAAATACTGCAGTTGCTTAAAAGTAAGTGTAAGAAAACATATGTATAACAAGGAAAACAAGATTATGAAATTTTATTGCTGAGTTAATGCATTCTACGTCAAAACGGTTAAAAGCGTCATCTGAAAACAAAAGGTTGCCCAACAAAATATTAATTAATACGTAATCTCGAAAACAAAGACTGGCATCTAGTTTTAATATAAAAGTTAATAAACTGAAAAATTTGCTTCGTTTGGAGTAATGGAGCCCCAATGAAATCGAGTGATTTAATGAATTTCACTCGAAACACGTCGTTAGCGAACTATTTAATTGCCCTTTTAGTCATTTACGTTGGAACAATGCGTGTAACACGAGGACCGAATGTAGCAACTCGAGCAGCACTTCTATTTTCTACAAATAAGTATTATACATCAGAATGTATAAAAATATTAAATTATAAAATAAATGTAAAGTTGTTCATAACGAAAGTAATTAATGTATCAGAATTAACTAGACCATACATCTAGCTTGTACGATAAAATAGCCGACAAAAAAAATCATATACACTCGAAAAGAATCAGTTAAATTGCAACCCCTCTGATGTCCCTCAAAATTATTAACATTAATCCAAATATAGAGATGTTAGAGATTTGTAAAGTCTTGGAACCAATATGGATCTATAAGAGTATAAATTCCAATTGCGGACACTTGACTTGCCATGTTGAATTTATCCTTCTTTTTACTGTAATAGACTATTTTACAATATGCATTTTATCGGTTATAATTGACATATTTTTTAATAAATATTTATAACAATGTAACGTATTTTATTTTGCACTCTATTCATCAATAACTACAGAATTCACCTTTACTGATCATTTAAATACAATGGCTCCGTAATTGGTATATCTACCCTAGGTCTAAAAATGTAGGACATCATTTACAAGATGACATTCAAAACGTAAATCTGATTTGAAAACACAATGACTACAAAACCTGTCTGATAATATAATATTCAGAAAAGTATAACTGAAAATTTCTGAAGAAAATATTGCACCCTGTATCCTACACAGTCTGCACGCAGAACCACCGACTAGTAAACAGGACTGGTTTTAGGTTTTAAATTTTCTGTTCTGGTCTATCATATTTTATTGTAAGAACGATCTGCTTTTTACATAAAACTTTCAATGTAAATTGTAGTGTTAATCGCTAGGTAGTTACAGTGTTAATCGCTTGAGCCATCCTCATCAAATATTGTACTGATATTAAAGTTAACAACTAATATTAAGTCCAGCAAAGTATGACACTATTTTAATTACTCAAATACGTACCTTTAACACAAAACGATCGATTAAACGCTGTGCGATCTTCGTAGATCTACCGAACGCGAGCTCGAAGGAAAATTGACTGAATTTTCGGGAGAGAATAAAAGTCCGGCTGATCGAAACTTGTTCGGTAAGGATGTACAACGCGTTTTGATCCACGATGCAAAATAAATCGAAGGAGGAAAGTCGGTAACCCTTAGCGTGGTATTACGATGGTGTACCGAACACGAACTGACCGTCCAACCACAGACGTCCAAGACTTTATCCCCATCGTTGGTTATTTTTCCACTTGTATCGTGACTAGCGGCCAGCAAGGTACGTTCGCTAGGAGTCATTGTCTTTGCCGGGAATGTTCAAGGTCGTTTTCGTAGTACCAGGTTTCCGATGGATCGTGAGCTAGCGTGTCTGGTCGATTTTTTCCTGCTAGATCAACCTTGCTACTCTTCCACCGGATCAGTTAAAGCAGCTACGAAAATCAAAACATTCTGAACTGGATTAGGATTTCATTTTTAACGTTGGAACTGTTCGAACCAGTCGAGCATGCGAATTGTTTTCGAATATTTATTTGTTCGTAAATAAATTTTATAATTTTTTTATTTAAATTATTTCATCAAATCATTTGTGAAAAAATAAAGTTCACAAAATAAAGAATTACAGTTCGAAGTGTTTGATATACATATTACAATTGGAATATCCAAATTTCAATTTAGGGGTTCATATAAAAAATATTTAAATTAAGTAAGACGGGTACTGCAGCTAAACTTCATAAATGAAGACTTTGAATTGAAAATGTTTGAATTATGAATTATGTGATATATATCACTGCGTTGTAAAAGAGTTTCCTATATATTTTTCCTTAAACATTAGTACTAATTAGCTTTCATGATTAATGACATCGGTAAGATCGCTTTGGGCGGAACTTTCTAAAATTATGTGCTCAAACATTGGGGCTTTTGAAATGTAATATTTGTAACAACTCAGCATTGGTATTTTCCGAATGTCAGCAAAATAATTACAATTTTGCCTGAGTTTTTAATAATATTTCAGTTATTCGTATTTATGACACCTTTCTTTCCCAGTTATGAATTGCTGAGTAGCAGTTAATATGATTGGTAAGCATCGATCCGGAACATGAATACGAGTTACTTTTAAATAGTTTAACATTTTAAGATACGCTTAAAATTATATTCTATTTTATTAATTTGCTGTACTACTGTTCTACTACTCCACTATTACACTTCTACTGATACACATTACTGTCACATTGTTGTTTTCTAGTTGTGTTACTATACCACTATTTTCTATATTACTGTTCTTCTCTACTACCCCACAGCTATACAATTATTATACTATTTCTATTATGTAATATAATATTATTATTCCAATATTTTTCTATATCAATGCATTATTATTTTAGAACTCTATTGTTTCACTTTTTCAACATTCTAATATACTACTATTATTTTACTCTTCCATTATACCACTTTTCTACTAATCAAACTGTACAGCTATCCTACTTTATTAATGTTTTAATACCTTGTATTGTACAGTTTACAATATATTTTTACAACAATGAGAGCTGAAAGTAAGTTTAGCTAAGGTTTAAAGAGATATACCCCTTATATGTACACATACATGTAGATTCAAAAGAATTATAGCAAATTATTACATGGTTTCCCCTAAATAAAAGATTTTGATATTGTCTAACGTTTTGAACAGTTAAAAACGTATACATTAATGAAAACAATCTTTTACTTTAATTCTACTTACAAAATAATTCTTTTTCAAGGGTTTTGTATCTTCCACAAGTTTTCCGTTATTGCAAAATGAACATTGTTCCTATATGTTTAGTTATCACTTGTTACTTCATTTTTTATGCATTCAATGTGCCTAAAAGTTGAATCTGCTTGATGTCGAGATTAACTGGTTAGGTATATCAACCATTAAAATTTTCGATAAAATTCAGAAAGGAGTAATTTCATTAATGAGGGAAATAACTGCACAGTATGTATGAACAAATACCATTTTAATAAATTCCTTGTACAAAAACTGGTTCATTACAAAAATGAACAAAAATATATATAAATATAATCAACGAATATTATAAAATATAAAATAACTTTTTAAACCTTAATTGAAACTACACATATATATTAATAGCTCTGACACAAATTAAACCAGTATATTAAAATGGTAGAGATGAATAAAACAAAAGTGCTGCAATAATACTTACACAAGTTTACTTCCCCACACCGTTTTCAAGATAAAGTGTATGGAAATGTAAAAAGTTTGTCATATTTTTGACGAATTGCATTAAAAATCAGTATCCTTTTACTTCTCATATGTTTGATTTTCTTTATTGAAATAATGCAATTCATCAAATATAATTTTTAACGATGCACTTCGTTTGGAAATGAACATGTAGTTTATATCATATCAAAAAGAATATATGTGATTGGAACAACTAAGCCAGTTTTGATCCAAGTGCTACCCAATAGACACTTAACCAAATACCAAACGAATCCTATTAGTCCAGCTTGTAAAGCTATATGTGCGACAAGTAATCTGAAAATATAAAAAGTGAATAAAAATATAGAGAGAATATATATAAGTTTTAATCATTTTCTTTAATTAAAACTCACATTTCATTTTTAGTGCGTGCCTTGGGCAATGTTTTTGGGGGTTCATTGTTTAAATATCTTCTGACTCCTTGTGTTAAGTTTACAAAGTAATCATCCCACACTAATGGTTTAATGTCTAAATTGAAAAGTGTTTTGTCAGTCTCTGATAGTGAATTATGTAATTCAATTGTACGAGGGTTATGAAATTTCCATTCAGTAAAAATAAACGTCTTTAGACGGTCCAACGAGGCATTAACATTTTTATGTAATCGTACCAAGCTAAAAACATGAAATTTCTATTAATTTTATATTCAAACTATAACATAATATCCTTCAGAAACAGATATTTAATAAAATTGAAATTTCACAATTGACCAACTTACATTGGTCGTCCTCCTGCTAATTTGGTAATTGTATCCAAAATATATGCAGGAATGAAATGTACAAAAATTGCTGATATTTTGAACAAAAAGATTGAAGACACAAGCTTAAGGTGTGGATACCAAACTGCACTTAATAATGGATAATCATGTAAATAGCGATTTACTTTCCCTTCTACAGAAACCCATTGGAAAGGATTAGCTGTACTAGATGTACAATGATATACTTTTAAATCTTTTCCACTGTAACAAAAAGTAGGAATATAAAATAATGCACTAGTATCCTAAAATTCTAATTTAGTGAAGCTTTACTATACCCATCACGGTCAACCACGTATCCTGCAGTTATGATATTGTTTACAACTACATCTACTGGAATGTAATCATAAATTACATTTTTTCCAACAGGTAATCTTCTAACAACTCCTTTAGCAGCACCCATTAAAAACCCTTGTGGGCCATTTTTTGATACTGTCCATCCAGGAACTGGTTCTTTCCAAGCTCCTGTTACTATAAATATAAATATTATATTAATGAAATATATTTTGACACTATGTAATATTGTGTATAATATACATACTCATAGAGGGACGCACAATAGCAGCAGGAACGCGCCCATTTTTAACTTCATGCTCTGCTAAATGTTTTGTGAATGTATAAGAATTTGGATGATCTTTTATTATATTTGGAGTTTCTGCTATTAAAGAGGCATCATCTAACTTTTCTATTAATCTGAGCAGTTCATTCACATCAAATGGTGGTGGATACACATGTTCATCTACTTCACTTAATACAGAATTAACATAAGCACTTGAAATATGTACAAGTGCCTAAAAAATGAAAAAGAATGAATTAAAATCACCATATATGCATGAGGAAGCACTTTTTATGAATATAACCGATATTTGTTATTACAACAACAAAATAATAAGAATAAAACTTGTGATTGTTATGAATTATTTATAATATCCAAAGCAGTTTACCTTGAGATCTCTTATTTCCTGACAAAGTTCTACAACTCTGCGTGTACCCAACAAATTAATATTTGTAGTAGTTTTTAAATCAGCTTCAAAATCTAATGTTGCTGCAGAATGAACAACAATTTGTACTTCTTCAACAAGGGTTAATCTGTCCGCAGATGATAATCCTAAATTTTCTTGTCCTACATCACCTCCAACAGGAATTAATTTGTTAAAAAGATGGGTTTTATTTTCTTCTTTTAATCTGTCAAATACCTACAATAATAGTACAAAAAGTATATCATTAACTATTGTTCAAAAATGTAAATTTCTAATAGTAAACTTCTTAAACTTAAGGCCTATAAAAATAGTAATAGGCTATTGAATAAAATTTACAAATACTGTAAAAAATAACAGAGTATGCATATCGAGTTTAATTATACTATTAAAAATTGAAGAAAAGTTCATGATCTGTGTCTGCATGCAAAAAATGCAAGATACATCAATTATTCAACACGTAACAAATGTTGAATAAATAGTAGGTTATCCTACAGTTACCGGGTGTGATGAACTGTATTAAAAACAATATTTTTGTTTCATACCGAATTCTTTTTTAATTCTTCTAATCTCTCCTGTATCTGTTTCCCTTTTTTTGGTCGTAGTAGCACATAAATACATTTTAAATCAGGAATAACTCGTAGTAATTTCTCAATTAAACAAATGCCGAGAAAGCCACTGCCTCCGGTAAGAAATATGGTTTTGCCGTTATAAAAATTAGTTACATTCGACACCATCGTAACACGTGACTTTTTGAATTTTATTAAAAGTTTTAATAAAAAATCCACTCAGTAGTAAGTTAATATAAGAGTATCTGAATATAATAATGTACGTATTGAAGGTACACAGCGATTAACATCCCACTATACCGTACATTGAACACTGACAGTAAAACTCGTAAAACGGTTCATAAATCCAGTTAGAAGTCGCTGAAAGTAGTTGGGGGAATAAAGCATAACTTCTTGCATGAACGTGTTTTGTTTTGCGCATCTCGGCTAAGTTCAGAATGTTCGAGAAGGTTCTCCATTACACAGTGGTGCCCATAGCCATAGAAAATGTAGAATATGTGTCAACCAACATTCCAATAATCCTACTTGAAGAAAAATACATTGTGCATGCTACTTCTTTTTATGTAGAGTGAATGACATCGAACGATAACACATAGCAAATTATAAAGTAATAATGCAGTCATGATTACAAAATTATTATATATAATTGTATACTCATTTGTTGCAATCAAATTATTACTGTTTTAATAATCCATTACAGAAATAATTATAAAACAGTTAATTACTGTCCAATTCTACTTATTTTAGTTTTATACAATAGTAGCGCATATTTTCAAAAAAATCATTGCACACGTATATATATAGTCTGTAACTCAGTCATAATAAGGAGCATGCGCATTACGCTTTACGAAATATGTTTAAACTTCTCAGAGTCAAGATGCGCAGAACGAACAAAAAATCGTCCTCCAAGGGGCATGTTCTCTCATGATTAGAACTATTTATACATAATGTACAGTAATTAAAATATAACTATATAAATTGAAATATATAATAACATGCTAACCAGATAAAATCTCAATCGTGACCTTTGATATGCTTTTACTTTGATATACGCATATTTATGTACAAATATTGCTGATAATTATGTCACGTAACTACAGTTACAACATTCCAAACTTCAGATCACATGATGTATTCTTTACACATCTTAGCATAATACTTTTACGTACTAATAATATAAGAATTTCTAAATTATTGGAATTCGTAACAAAAGTTTTCATTGAATCTTTTACCCTTTATTAATAATGAAATATAGAATAATAAATTGTTTGATGAGAATAAAATATAAAAACATTTTAACTGAAAAATTGAACTGGACAGTTTTAAATTCCAAAAATGACACCAATAAAAATACAATCAAGTCAGCTGTTTATGATTTCTATAAATATTCATTTAGCTTAATTTATTTTCCAGAAAGTATATAATGGAAAATTGATTTTCATTTATTGAAGACATATATAAACACTATATTAGTTATGGTATTTTTTTGAAAATCATAAGAGTATTTCGATCATTAAAAAGTATTGTATATTTTAATTCCGATGAGTTGGAACAACTTTAAATTCTTTTTAGAAGTACTTTGTCTCAGTACATTACCATCAAATGTTGATAAGAGGCCAGAAGATACAGAATTAGAATATGTTCTTATAAAAGTATTTCTTCAAAAAATTATCTGGTGTGATAAATATATTCAAATCATATGAACTCATGAATGAGAACAATGGCAGCAGTTCGAAATTCAATCGCTTCAATTATTCAAATTTGTTGTATTCAAAATTATTCAAACATACGAATTATTATTTCTCATGGTTGAATATACTGACAGCATTTTATTAATGCGAGTACGAAATTTTATATAATTCGTAAATTGAGAATCACTGCTAGCATCTCGTAGAAAGTATAATTTCTTCGTTTACTATTTGTGTTTCTCATTTAACGGTGAAATTTAGTTTTATAGATACGTAAGGTCTGCATCCACATACGTAAATTTCCTACTATGTGTCTATCTAAGAATATCTTCGTACGCAAATACAGGACTTTGAACGTTATCGTCATTTCTAGAAAAAAATTTTACATATTCGTTGTAAAATATTATTTTACATCAAATAGTTACAGTATGAAACATCATAATTTAACTATGTAACGTTATACAGTTTAACTATGTAACATTACAGTAAAACTTTGTAACATTGCATAGTGTATAGGAATAAAATAAAATGTGTAATTTGAGGCGCGTTTCCTGTCTGCAGAATTGTCATGCACGAACAAAATCAAGTATTGCTGACTAATCAAATTATTCGACAAATATTTTCATTCTATTTTATTGCCAATAATTTTGAATAATATCTGCAGTACAATATATCGAATTAAAACAAGAAATTCAAGTACTTTCTGTAATTAGAATTTTTTTTTAATGATCCTAGACATTGATTTATTTTCCTAACAAAAAGAGCAGAGAATAATAAGGTACGTACGTCAAGAAAGACGCGAACGTAAAAAGATGTATCCATACTGTACGTTCAGAATGATTTTTAAATTTTGACACTATGTCATTTTATTAAATCTCTTATTTACATTCTACTTTACATATTGGAAGAAAAAGTTACAAGCAAAAGGTTTCAACCTTATGTTTCATTAAAATACATTTATAAAAACACGAAATAATTATTTCCGTTCAAGTATTTCATCGATCATTTGCTACGTAATTAATTAACGTGTAATTTATGTATTCTCTTTTGGCGTTTTACATTACATTATTCTTGTACTGAATATTTTCAATAATATTTGTGGATGTATTTTATAACGGTGCCTGCAAATAAAAATTTCGTTAGAATTATATCGTAACTTTCGAATGAAACGAGAAGAGACGAGAGATTGTGTTTATGAGAAGTGCCTGCATTTTTTTACAACACACGATTTACGTCAGATAAAATTATAAATTTAAATACAGAAGGTGAAAATGTAATTTACACTTCAGCGTTCTGGCATATAATATACGCTTACTCAGCGCGCAGTCCAACCTAAAATTCCAATAATCATAGATTAAACGCGAGAGCCAATCGCACGCATACTCTCGTTCTAAATTGTTCATCGATTGAATGTACCGATCGTGCATTAAACGCGCGTGCATTGAGCGCGACTGTACATTTGTTATCATGAAAATTCTACCTTGAATTTTAATTCGAATAATTGGCGACAGATGTCGCGACTGTTGTGTTGCAAGACTCAAATTTAATAATTAGCTAACTTCACACGAAACGAAAGATTGAAAACTAAATTTAACGATATTCACTTTTTGCAATAAAAATCATACAGTCACTTTAGGCTTTATAATTTAAATGCAGAAATTAATGAAGTTGCATCAATATTACATCAGTGACCCGCCAAACAATGATAATTTAAATTTGTTTCATTTTACATTATCCCATTAATTATTATTCTCTTTTATTTCAAAATTGCACGTGTTTCATAGGTTTGAGTCATGGTTGATCTGATACTATATTTCTAACAACCCACGTCAGCAATAAAATACGATAAAAAGATCTCGCTTATGTAAACATTATTCTGATTGCTATGAAAATAACATCAAGTATTTTTTAACAAAAATATAGCAACGACTATTTATAATCTAACCTAACCCTGATTAATTAACTACATCCTAATTTGGTGTAAATCTCACCTAACCTAAACCTAACTGGGTAATATTTGAAAATAATTCTTTATAATCGTTGGGATTTATCAAACCATTGACCACCGAATTTTGGGAGATTTCTATCTCAATGAAAATGGTATACTTACGGTACTGTGATTTTTTTATTCGGAGTTATAATAATAATTCGTAAAATATTCATATTTTATAGAGGTTAAAATAAATATTCAATTTGAATTATTATGTAGTTTTAACACCCTGCAATGTTGGTGACCCGTCCAGCTTTCAAGACGATTGGGTCATCAATATATTTTCATTTTTTAACATTCCAAACAAATTTAATTATCGCCTCGGATATTTATGACTACTCAAAAACTGCTAATTATAATTTGAACGCAAAAATTATTCATCATGAAATAATCAATAATCTATAATACATGAACATGAAACTGAAATTCTCGAAAAGGAAAGATCTGTTACTTATAACCAATAAATATTAAACATCACAAACATAAAATACAGCGGTAATAATCTTTCCTAATCGATATGTTTCTTTCTCTAGTGTAAGCAATTATCATGTGAGCAATGTCCAATTGCTAAAGTAGTAATTTATGAAGAAAATATCGAGATTTCATGTGCAAATACCTACATAAATAAAACGAACTTTGGAAAAGCTTTGAATTAGTAAATACACGTTTTAATTAATACTCGTTCGAAAGGTTAAACAAAATATTGCATATGTAACAGTAAGAAAACTGTATAGATCTATGTTTATTAAAAAAAATGCATTTATACATTTACAACAGTGATCATTTAAATGAAAATTAGTAATAATTGTAGCTAACGAGTACTAAAAACTAGTAAATGAAAAACCATTAGACTGCTACATTTGTTGCAACTAAATTACTATATGTAAGTGACTACGATTTGTTTATACCGGCGGAATAAATTTAAATAATAATTATAATTATACATAATGTTATTGACAACAAGCACAGCTACGTGCGTTGATACATAATTCTATCGTAAAAAAGTGCGTTGACGTATAATAATAACGGAATACGTCGTAAGGGTGAAAATACGACGAAAAGCGCAGAGAAAGGTGCGAAGGTACCTAGTAACTTTTCACGGGAAACAATTGTCCTGCCTGGGGGGATTTGGCGGTTGCCCCAAGATGGCGGACACGGTTGGCGTGCGACAAGCACGAGCTGAAAAGTGCCGAGAACGCGAGAAATTGACGATTCTGTGTTAAATTGGTTACGCGAGTTTCATTCGTGGACAGCTGGAGGATCGTCGACGAAAAAGCCAAGCTCGGATAATATAGGTACGTGAGAAATCAGTGACACGAAACAGTTTTCTCTCGGTACGGGGTGAAAAGCCGCGCCTACTATCGTGCATCACAATGTCATGGGATGCGATTGAAACAATTTCTGTTTCACGGTTTCACGAATGGGCGAACGTTGCCTCGTGTCCATGGATACAATCGTTTAAAGAATGATTCTTGACGAGAAGACTCGCTATCGCGTTATGAAAATTCCTAGCAGGAATATCGAGGTTGATACGTGAAAATCGAACGGTCGACTGGTACGGCCGACAGCCCGTCTCGATTATCGTTTCGTAGATTTTCCTTGTTTTCCCGTTTGATAACAGAAACTGTTTCCGTTCGACTGTCAGTGAACTTTTACGATTCTATTCGATTTTGACTGTAATAATTTCCCGCCGTACCTGTGAAAGATAACGTGAGAAAGTCGTTGTGTGTCAACTGCGGCAATTTTTTATCCCGATCCCTGAACATTTGCAAAGCGA